ACAACAAATCCAATACTGATAAGCTACAATTTAGGCCTACACGTTAGTCACCATGCAGACAGTGCGTACCGATGTTGTCTATAAATAGTTGGCTGTTGTAAGCAGCGTGTTTTGCATTAGTGAACGGAGTGGTCGATCACTAGAGCATAGGACTACGTACGAAAATCTTATGAATTATTCTAGCATTAATTAATAGGTTCTACTTGGCAGGAATAATTTGGATACTCCACATATGCCGTCAGGGCTAGTTTTGTACGGCTTTTATCTCCCGGTCTGACTGTTAGGATTGTTTGGTTAAGTTTAAGGTATCGATATTGGCAAAAATAAATACACCGTCTCATAACATAATCTTTTATCTTTATCGTAGGGAGAGTGTACCATTGAAGACTTGTTTAATGTATGACAAGTAAAATGAAGTAAAGTTCCCTGTTCGAAGCTGACGGTCAATTGGGCAAGTGAAGTAGAGTTCACCTGTTTCTGTGAACTCGGCATATGAAAGGATGGTGTGGTCAGCACTATGCCCAGCCGCCTTTACTTTCCCTAACGTGAGTTAGGTACCCATCACAGCCTGGATGGACTCAGGGCAATCAACAGACTTGAACCCAGATTCAAACTCAAGACTTATAAAACTTATAGGTAAGCAGTCTAGCTCACTAACACTAGGCCACTCCGTCCCTATATATGGCAAAGAACGCTAGATATTTCTATTAACCTAGAACAAAGATATTTATGGGTAAACTGAAACACATGAATAACTATATAATCTATATTTAGTTCTTCATTGACAGCTAGTGTAACAGATGGAGCCAGTGATTGCATGAATTATATTAAGGGCCACAGGTCAGGCAAATTTTCTCGTGTAGGGAAATAAGCCTAGATAGGCATAAGCAGGTAATCTTATATTTACCAAATGGCAAAAAATTTTAAGGGTCCCCTGTGATTTGTATCATACTGTCTTGTTTAACCCTAAGAGTCACAAAAGGGGGGTGGGGGTCGGGGGGTGGGGGAGAGGGGTGGGGGGTGGGAGAGGGGCATTTCCCACATTGGGTGATGCCAAATTAAAAAACGTACTGCCAAAACAATGTTTTATCCAGTTAAAACATCAAGAGTGGGTAATAAATAAAATTGCAAGATTGTTGAAAAAGGCAGGAAGAGGGGATGTGTGACAACTGACTGTAATATGCCAAGAAGAACCCTTACCCTAACCAGACAGGGTTAATCTACAATGTGGGAATGGGGGGGGGGGGGGGAGTAATCGAAAGGGGAAAATGTCATGCTCCCATCTACATCATTAGGACAACATTTTAGTGTTCCTTAAGAAATATACATCACAAGTCAGTAATACCATACATTACATAAACAGCATTCATTTAAAACCAAAAGCAAGATGGGTGTAAAAGTATTTTTTTTTTCCAATACTTGATTATATGCTATTGGAGGAGTATAGCAAATAATTGCCTTTAAATAACACATAAATGTACTAGTGAGGTTTTTGGACATAACATCCAACAGTTTGATCAAAGGGAGGTAAGCAATCAGTTCGTAAATAAATCACAAAAGTATGGTGTACAATTCTAAAAATAGAATAGGCTTTCACCTAAAATATAGGAAATTTAACAGATTTTTTAAAAAATCATTAACATGAAAGGAATATCAAAATATAAATTGATTATACAAAAGTAATAAAATGGAATGTTAAACAATGACAGTGCTAAACATGACATCAAGTGGAATGTACAGTCAAGGGTTCAGGGTTATTATGTTATTGTTTATTATGTAAAACATAAGCCAAGGCACTGAAAAGGTTCCTTGAGTTTCATGGAACAAAAAAAAATACAACTGAAACATACATAAAATATATTTATGGCAGAAACAGATGAGTTATACGGTTAATAATTTATGTCTATATAAATAAGTGTGAACAGTGAGGAAGAAAATTGATTCAATAAATGGAGTCTTTGCTAGTCTGATTTAGAAGAATAAATACACTGCTGTTGACTAAGCTAGTAAGTACTTTTTTTATGTCATAAAAAGCATGACTAGCATTGCAGCATTTTAAAAAATATTATGTTAACTGTTTATCTCGTTATATTCAAAATTATTTATGGGACATCTAAGCACGTAAATATGAACCTATAAACATCCACTTTTAAATTTCATGTATACATTAACATGATATTGTGCATAATATACTATTTGACTGAATATAGGACTATTATTTTCATTTTGGTAGGGTCATCTGTGATTATCATAGGATTGATAATTCTTACAGTTACTAAATTCTCCATACAGAAATGTAAAATTTACATGAAGTTAAATATTAACACACTTTATATCAGTGTGTATATGTTACTGGTTACAAATCGTGAAGTAAAGATTAAAAACTCTAAAACCTTCTGTTAGATGCTCAAATTAGCACAAAAATACATCATTTTTATAGTGCAGAATTCTTTAACTTTATAATATCCCACAAATGTGATCAAAATTAATTACTTATAATTAAAATGTAACATGCACATTTTCTAAAACTAGACCACACATGCCTGCAGACAAAATAATGTAACAATTTAAATGCAACCAATTCAGTTGAACCAACATTCAATGAAGAAATGTAATTATGATCAAAAACATAATTATAATAGTCTAAATCAGTTATATGTAATAAATGTCATTTGTTTTATACAAGGTACAATCAAGTGAGACCCTCCTAACCAAAATATGGTTTATCAGACCATAGGCAGATGTCCAGATTTATACAAAACAATTTTCTATTTAATGTAAACAGCCTGTACTTAGCTTTGAAGCAGTAAAGAGGGGACTAAAAATAATAGTTAATGTTTAAACTTTCTTCATATTGTAAAACAATATTTTGATTTCTGATGGGTTTGAGAAGTAAGAACCTTTAACAACCTTTTTAAGAACAAATAAAGCTTAGTGTTGTTTCAAGAACTGAAATATTGCTTTTATTTTTTTCTAATGTAGTTGAATGAACTTTATACACTGATTGCAATGAAATAACATTTTTAATAAATAATAATTTACATGTAAAAAAAATCAGTAGAGATTGTAAGTTGCTTCCCTTATTTTTCTTCCCTATAAGTGTAGTTGCCTCCCCTACATCTCTTCCCTATAATGGTAGTAGCCACTACTGCGACTCATATTATGATGTTGGCTGTTCTGCTGGATGGGGTAGCGCAGCTGGCTGGAGCTGTTGATACTGGAGTTGTGGAAGCTGTTGTTGGGGTGGATGTGGTGACTCCTGTCACTGAAGCTCTCATGGAGGACCTGCTCCAGGTCTTGTTGGGTGTCCATAATGTTGACATGGAAAGGTGAACCAGGAACATCCACACCTGACCACCTACAGAGCATAAAGCTTTTTTAATGACTGAAATTCATAGAAGCTTTTAAACCTTAGTCTTTTAAGGCAAAAAAAAAAATAGGTTCAAATATTTACTAATCTCTTCCAACAAATTTATTGAATGGAGAAATTTAAATGTTGAAATTATTAGAAACCTTTACACCATAAGCCTATGAAATAAACTACATTTTATAGATTATTACTAATCTCTTCTAACAAATAATTGAAGACTTAGGGAGACAAAGGATTTTAAATATCTCTCTCTATGTATATTTCAATATAATATTCAAACCACAATGTTGCAGCAAATTATTTTAATACAACATTATCACAAAAGCATAGATCTAGGTAATATACTGTGTATTCACTAGTAGATGCATATAAATTACTAACTGGATTAACTGAAAAGTATTTACCTGACGTTAATTATATAGAGACCAATAACAGATGGATAGTATCTACACAGAATTGTGCGATCTTTCTGACTCTCTCTGTACATTTCAACTTGGAAAGCTCCTGTAAATACAAATTTACTTTGTATTTCTAAGTGCTAAAAAACAGCTTAAATCCCATACAACTAATGTAAGCCTATTTAATCACTATCCATCTTGGATTAAATATCAAAACGGAATCCAATAAGATAAGTTTTATTTACAAATTACTAACAGAGTGACTGAATCCAATAAGATAGTTTCATTTACGCAAAGAAACTTTTGTGAGATAAATTACAATCAATTTGGGAGAAACTTTTGTCTACTGAGATAAATTACAATCAACTAGTGAGAAACTTTTCATTACTGAGATAAACTACAATCAACTAGTGAGAAAATTTTGTCTACTAAGATAAACAACAAATGACTAGTGACTATTAGCCATGAGTAATTAACTAGCACAGTGACATGATGAGCACACACCTTTAGGTCCTCTAATTCTGACGGTCAACTGACCAGCGCCTGCACCACGTGTCTCCACAATAAACTGGCTCTGGAAGTTGGCCAATATCCCATGCTCCACCCCAGGTCCACTGACCCTGACCTTGGATGCATCGGGCTGTGCTGAGACTTTGAAAGGGAATGGGCTGCCTGAAACAGTTAAAAACATTTTTACAATTCTAGTTACAATAAGACAGAGTTTGATCTTAAACAAATACACTATGAATTTCATTTCATGCCTGACTGTCTTAACAATCACATTCAAATTTTATTCAACTATACATATCAGATTGGATTTTAATTTTTCTTTTTGACTCAAGCAAAGAAAAGGTTATTTAAAAAACACCATGAATGATGCCAGATAAGAAAGTGAGTGTACCTTGTACATGCTCGCCACCATATTTGATCTGTAGCACATGCTTGCCTGCCTCTTGTGGCTGTACAACCAGCCTGTAAGTCCCATCATGATGGTCACTTAATTCACAGTAGGCAACCTTGGTAGGTCCCATACAGTAGGCGGTCAGCTCACCTGATTATAGCAAGACAAAATGTAAACTAACCATTAAACAGGATACACAGTGGAAATAAAGCTGGCTGAAAATATTACATGTTGACATGCATCTGAGGAAGAAGATAATACTAAAAAGCATGGGAAATAAAGACTTCATTCAGTTTCTCAAAATCTTTTAGAGCTGGAGTAAACAAAAAGAACAGTTTTTAAAACTTTCATCAGCATTACTAGAGATAAATATAAATGTTTAATCATGGTTAAAGAATCAATCGTTAATGTATATGACATGTTAAATAGAAATCTTGAGATGTTAAATTAACAGAGTGCATTATATGATGAAATGCGTGAACTAGCATCTGCCTTTAAATTAATGGCTTAATTTGACAGTAAGCTTGTTAAAAGCATTAACCCCCACATCCTATTAAAAAAATTGTCAGTCAGTAAACACAGGTGTATATCTGTAAGGCATCAATACATACAACTAAGACCTCAAGTTTTCTGTAAGAAAAAACTGGTAAAAAGATAAGTCTTTTAAAATAACATATAATAAATCAGTAGCAGTGTACATATTCCTCTAAAGACATAGGTGTTTTATCTTTTTGCTGGTGAAGAAACTTCAGATTTTTCTTGCTCTCTGATTGTGAAGATCAGTGAGAGGCCTCCCTCACTATAGTTTGCTTTCAGCTATGTGCTGGCTGGTCTAAATCTGCCCTAACATTAAATTAACATTGAACAACAAAATGAATAATTTGATATTAACGTTCAAGCTTTTAAATCAGCCCAGCAAAACATTTCCTCCAGACTAAAACTAAATGGTGACATTGAACAAAGACAGCCTATCAGCCTCCTACCTGGTCCAGCCCTTCTTGTATCAATGCGGAAGTCCAGGTTACTGCCCAGTAGTCCACCCTTGAGGCCCTCACCATTGACCACTACACGGTTTGGATAGGAGGCTCCAATCACATTCACTTTATACGGGGCTCCTCGCAGCTAGTGCAGGAGAAATAAAGAGATATCAAATACACATCTTTCTGTACTCAATAATTGAGCAATATATACACTAGCAATATGTATTTGAGGGTATTTTTGCTAATATCACAAAATGAACACTGAGCCTTACTTAAACACTGACCTATACCATAACACTAATGGCAATACAAGTACAAGGAGAAACAAAAATCTAAATACAATACTATGTTGTATAGCCAACATTTCTATATGAACAATGAAACAAGTATTTATAACTCTTTAAATGATTGTAAATTACCTGTCGACCATTCCAGGAAATGTTCAGAAGATATGCACCAGGTATGACTGGAATGTATGTGCAGCGAAACTTTCCTCCCCCTAGTGGAGTCTTGAACACCTGGATCTCAGCTCTAACACCTGTCAGCTCAACATCGGGCTCACCTGGTTGCCAGATAAAAGTCAAGAATTGAGAGCAAAAACTTTTTTTCAAACATTTAACACAAATTAATGAAGAGAAACCTTATAGGGGTTAGTGGGTGACTCTAAGTGAACTAGCCACTTTAACACAGCAGAAGTAATCACAAGTAATCACATGTGTTTTCAGACACATCAAATGACTAGTTGTAAAAATTTTAGCCAGAGCTACATCATTTTCTTTTTTTAAAAAAAACTATCCTGGACTACAAGACACTCTTTAAAAAATTTTAAAATAGTTTTCATTTTTCTATCTCTGGGAAAAAAACATAACCAAACTGAACCAACAGACATAATGATCAAACTAAACCAACAGAAACTATGACCAATGTGAAACTGACCTGGTCCTGCCTGACTGCCATCAATGACAAACTCCGCCTCCTCCCTGACAATGGCCTCCTTCAGCCCACGTCCAGTCAACCAGACTTTACTGGGGTCAGCAGCTCCATTCACTGCGAAGCCCTGGTAGGGTGAGTTGACCAGGGGATGGTCAGACCAGTACAGGTGGATGTAGTGGGTTCCTTCTTCTCTGGGCACAAACTTGACAATGCTCTTGCCTTTGTGTTCATCGTCCACTTCCACGGGCATCAGAGCACTGGGACTTTTGACCTCTGCCCTCATCTGACCTGATCAAACAAAGGTACACATCTCTTATTTCAGGCTGTTTTATTCTAATGATCAATCATTACATGAATGCTTAAAGGGGTCGGCATTGTCGAGTTGGAAAAGCTAATGGTTTCTAAACCGAAAAGTCTCGAGCTCAAACCCTAAGGCAGATGAGACTTGTTAGCTTGGGACAGCCACTTTTCTAGGAGAGATAACTCCAAATCAAAAAACTACTGCCTTGTAGTTTGTTTAGGTTGGACAAAGGCTATGGAAGAAAATTCAAAAAGAAAAGCAGGCTGAAATTGTAGTCAATGGCCCCCAACAAAGAAGATGAATGCTTATATTTTCTATTAAATAATAATGTAGCATGACATGAGTATTTAATTGGCTAAAAAATTATTTAAAAAGTTGAAGTAAGGTCAAAGATTTTAAACATATAATCACATTTTTAAAAAACAACCTATAGCATTAAGCAACAAACTTTATACAGCTAGTTAGATCAATAAACACAGACAAGAAGAAATACCAAGACTTATTTAATACAGGACAAGACACAAGTTGTATACCTGGACCAGCTTCTGAGGTGTCAAATGGAATCTGTTTCTCCTCTCCTACAACCAGGCTGATTCTCTGCTGACCATCCATGTAGTGGTGCCAACCCCCAACAACCTTCACCTTCCTGGCATCAACCACTTTGGGATGAAAAGGGCTTCCTAGTAGGTTGAAATAAGAGATAGAATTAGATGTAATTGTCTGTTACAAAAGTAAACTGCATAGTTTTGAATGTAATGTTTTTAAAGTAACAGCAAGATGTTACACCAGGGTAACAAAGGGACAGCAAAATAAAAAACCGAAGTGGCCTTACCTGGAATCTCTTTACCATTCCACCTGACATAGACATCAAAGAGTCCCACCTCAACTGGGATGTAAGTGACCTTGTACTGACCATCAGGCAGTGGATCAATGCTGCACTTCGCTATGGCATTAGGACCTGTATTTGATATACGCAACATACAATTTAATAAAATTAAAGTTAATCTGGACCTGTATTTGTTACATCCAACATACAATTTTATAAAATTAAAGTTAAAAAGGGTAAAATATAATTACAGTAATTTTTAAACATTTTTTAAAAATCAAGGTGAAAAAACTTAGTGTAAATTTTTTTAACAATATAATCTATACGAGTCAAATAAAAAAAGATAGAACCCTAAAGTTAACAAACATAAACAGAAAACAGCTGTAATGTAACTTGAGACTGACCATCAACTTGTACAGATGGCTCCCCTTTAAGATTCCTGGCATCAATAACAAAAGTCGCAGGTTTGTCTTCCTCCCCTCTGTGTAGACCTTCACCATGGGCTGGTGGTAATGTCCCTTCAGATATTTCTTGATGGAAGGGACTGCCTGAAATAAACATATACAAGATATTTTAAGAAAAGATATACTTTGGTACCAGGAAATACAATTTGAAAAATGATATTAATGGTAGCTTCAGACAGCGTGACATAATGTTTTATTGTGATAACAAATGTGTTGACTGGACAGGTAAACAATTTGTTTAAAATACACGTGCACTGTATGCTAAGGAATCTTAGGTATGAAATGTAGAATATATCCATAATACAAAAAAACCTTATATGCTAAAGTACAATTTGTTGAATTACTATCACAGTAATGTGCAGGACCAATTAGGAATTACCTCATTAAACAAATGCAACAAGAGATGTATATATATTAATATTGCATAGTGTATTTACTAAATACTAGAAACAAATGAACATATCTTACAACAACTCTAAAGTAATTCACAAGATAGTTATTTGTCTTACATTAGTTATTTAAGTGTGATGTTCAAATAAAGTCTTTTTTGCCAGTGTTATTATTGTAAAGAAATACATTAGCTTTAGTAGTGCATTTCAAGTGCTTATATAACTTTATACTTGTATGCATTGTTTTCTATTGTGATTACACGCAACAGTAGCCTAGGTATATTTAAAAAAAAAGACACTGTCTTTGACCACTTTTTCAAACCAAAAAGGTTGAACCTTTAAAATAAACATACACTGACTGGACTGTGAGGAAAAAATGTTTAGATAAGATTCAGCTTGACTTAACAGATCAAACAGGAGGAAGGCCAGCCTACCAATCAGTTTGACATTTACACAGTATTTAGACAGACTTGGTTTAATTGAACTTCTCTGCCATCCTTACTCATCTACCATCCATAGCTATAAGTTTAAAAATTTCTAAACCTAAATTAATCTTACAATATCCTCCACCATGAACAAAAAGGTTTATAACCTCTTATTTCAGCTACTTATGAATAGCAAGAAACTATCAAAAAAAATAATTTTAAATGATTCTTTTAATGGACTGAACTTTAGAGCTGTAGTAATTTTAAATTAAACTTGCTGTCAGAAGTTTACTGTAAAGAAATGTCAACATACTTAAGGATTTCTAATATTTAAGTAGCAAAGACCAAAGAGGTCTTAGTACATATTTGTAAGTGAGCAAGACAGAAGAAAAAGTGATCATGTGGCAATACTTCACTAGTATAAGGGTTAAAGCTTAACTGATGGGCTAGCTAGGGTTTAGACTAAAAATCACCATTACAACTATTAGACCCATTCACACCCATAATAATAGTAACAAGATTACAGGCTAGCTCATCATTATAGGCAACTCAACATTGATATAATTGAAGGTCTAGATATAATTGTGGCTGATCAAGCTGGTATAATTTTATCAATAATTATTTGGTTCAACCACCATTGATCATTTATAACAGATTCTAAACTATTGAAGCCAATCAAATTTCACAAGGAAGCTAGTTGAGCTAGACTTTACATAATGTAAAATACACACACTACAGATGGCAAGTTAAAAAACTGGCAGGGTGGATGTGAATGTCTTTAAGATGAGCCAAACTAACTCAAGTGGTGAGGTAAACTTGGTGAGGTATATGAGGTGTGTTTGTTCAACTAGGGGATGGCAACTGGTCTGTGTATTTGTTTAAAATGGGTAAAAACTTGAGTCATGGAGGGGAGAAGGTAAAAGAAGGAAATGTTGACACTAAGTCAATTAGCAGCAGGGGTTGGAGATTATGCAAGAACAGAAATAGTTGAAATGTTATACAATTCACGATGATATTTCAATACGTTCAATCATGAGAAGATGAAGTCACGCCTCATTTTCAAGGGGATGGAGGGACGGTGTAATCTTTTTGTGATGATGTGTTACGAGGGAGAAGTGAGATGCTGATTAAAATTTGTATTTCTTTTTTTTAATGATGAGATTATGGTGGAGACATCATTTTAGAAAGGGATAGGGGTGGGCGGGGGTATGGTGAAGAGGTATTGAGACATCATTATAGAGGGGGGGGGGGCTCGTTGTTTTGTGTGACGATAAAAGGATAAAGATAAAAATCGTTGACATTCGAATATGACGTCAGATGAAGGTTGACACTTTAAAAGACGTTTTGTCATTTTAGTTAACATTTACTAACCAATCCCTGGAAAGACAGAGAATAATAGCACGTGGGTGAGGAGGATTTAAAAATAAACAAGCGAAAATACTTTTCATGTATTTAAAATGTGAAGAAAGTACGAAAATGACGTACTCTTATTCCTACAAGAACGCCCATTATAATGTAATCTTCTGCATATGCAAGGCAAATGCCAGGCATTTTTTGTCTGTACTCCAGTCTAAAGCGGCTGACGGATGCACAAGGCGTGGCCCCGCGTGTCGGCTGCTATTAGAAACTTACAACACGCAATTCAAATTTGACGTGGTGCGCAGTTCACGTTTGTTAACGCCGCCGTGACGGGAATTTCTAGCAACTTCTCTCTGTCGTGGGCCAGGCCGTACAAAACATAAGGCTCACTTTTTTTAAAGCAGGAATAGTTAATAATATAAGGGGGTAGAACAATCTCACGACTCACACATATCGCACAATTATAATCACAAGCAGATTGGTAATTTGAGTTTTTTTCTTCCTCCCTTCAGGTGCCAGAAAAAAAATGTGTCCACACGTTTTAAAAATCTACTTTCTAGACGTAGTTATCAAATTTCTAAAACAACTATTCTTTTTTTTTTAAAATATATATTAAACATTTTAAATGCACAGTGGACGCAAATTATCCACCCATTGCCGACAGACCACATATGGGAGAAAACACGCGAAATTTTACGTACAATCTTCTTTTGATGTTGCTAATCAATTAATTCTTTTTACATCATTTCAATATTTACTATCTCTGTTTCACAAACCGTTTGATACAACGATACGACTTAACATCAAAGATATAATTCTATCAAGTAGCCTATCAACTCTACCCACCATATTTTGTATCGCCATTTCTGTTGGTTGACCGCTGTCCGGTCGATGAACCCGCTGAGTGGTGGTCAACAATGAGGTCAGGCACCCGAGTGGAATGTGGAGGTACAACAACGTAGACATTAGCTGGACCGGTCAGTGGACTGCTGAAGCCAGACCTGGTCAGACTGCCGCTATGAGAGCCGACTTGGTCATAGCGAGACGTGCTGTGCTGACCACCGTCTGCTGTACGGCCGTGTGTCCTTGAAGATTTGACCACCGCCACCTTCCGGTGCTCTTCGTGCTGCGCAAAGTCCGACGACCAAGACGACGACGACACCGTAGACGAAACACCCCCGATGTTTCCGATGATTTTTTCTTTACCCGGAGCTTCCATGATGGTTGTCATGGTAACAGGAGTCGACCTCGGCGATGTGGTGTCGTGAGAACCTTGCATTAGATGGACGGGTTTGGGGGCGCCATCCGTCGTGATGAAGTAGGTCTCGGAGCTGCTGTTGTCCGCGGAGCTGACCATTATCTTGTGTGACCTGGGGGAGCTTAGACCGGAGGAGCTGACGTCAGAGTGGAAGGAGCTGCGAGAGAACTCGTCGTCTGATGTTTCGTTGGCGAAACTCATGTCGTAGCTGAAGTTGGGGTTGAAGGAAGTGTTAGCTCTGTTTTTCTCGAAGTAGGTTAGGCTCCGCTGGGAGAGTTCCGTGCTGCTTCGCGTTTTACTGTCAAAGTGGGTAGTCCTGGTTGCATTCGTGATGGTGAAGTTATAGTTGGGTTGGTTATGTGAGTCATTGGGTAAGTTGTCGGGATAGTTGTGTCCGGAATTTGATGACCCATGGCCAGTTTTACGAATGACAAATCCAGTATCACTGATGGGGACACCTTGGTCACTTGATGTGGCATTGGAATGGTTATTTCCGGAATTGGATGATCCTGTGCCAGTTTTACGTATGATAAATCCACTATCACCGATTGAGACTCCTTGGTCACTTGATATATTGTCGGGACGATTATGTCCAGTATTTGATGACCCATGGCCAGTTTTGCGAATGATAAATCCACTATCACTGATGGGGACACCTTTGTCAATTGATGTTGCATTGGGATGGTTGTGTCCAGAATTGGATGACCCATGGCCAGTTTTACGAATGATAAATCCACCATCGCCATTGGGAACACCCTCGTGCAAGGCATGACTCTTGGTATAATCCGCATCAGAGTACTCAACATTCTTCTGGATGTCCCCTCCTGATATTTTGATTTTTGTCACGGTCCCTGTGTTGTCGTCATGGTTACCATTCAAACTCTGATTGTACTGCGTATTCGAACTCTGATTGTACGGCGTATTCAAGCTTTGGTTGTGCTGTGTATTCAAGCTCTGATTGTACGGCGTATTCGAACTCTGATTGTACGGTGTATTCAAGCTCTGATTGTGCTGTGTATACGTGTAATGTTGTCCGCTGTTGCTATGATTGTGGTCGTTGTCCCATCCACCAGTGCGATTAACAACACTGTTTTTCAACGTGAAATTTCCCCCCGAGTCGGTGCCGTAGTTGTTATGGTACTGGGTGTTGTCCAGCTGGTTGTGATGGGAGTGATTGGGTGTTCCATCTTGAGGTCCGTCTCTGACTGTTATCTTAACGTTGCTGTTCACGTGGACGTTAGTCTGGCTGTGGTTGTAGTTGACGGTGGAGTAGGTTAGATCATCGGGTACAAACGGCGATGCTGTGACTGTATGAAGCTGACCGGAGCTGTTGTAACGCGGTTCACTTGGTTTATCCGCCGCGTGTGTCAGCTTCCTATTCTTGTTGGGTAAAGCATAAATATCTTCGTTGACGTGACTGTTGGTTGTGTCCCCGTTCACAACAGCTTGAGAATGGTTGCCATTCATTGCAGAGACAGCACTTTGAGAATGGTTGCCATTCATTGCCGTGTGTAACGAGTGGTAGTAATTGGAATCTGTATACTGAGTGCCCGATCTCTCGAAATTCGCATTGTGTCGATTTTTTATCATCAGGTGGTTTTCAAGTTTGTTCAGAAGAGATTTATTCGAGAAAACTGCGTTCACATTTTCCATAGAAACAGAATGTCTCCCGTCAACTTTTTTCGCCATTTGTAAATCCACGGCGGACTCTGTCTTGTTTTCACACATGCTCTGAGGCCGCGAGTTCTGGGACCGTTTCTCCAGCACGGACGAAAGTTCCTTGACCACCTCATTGTACTGCTTGGACCCGGGGTCTTTGATAGACCTCCGAAATATCAGCGGGAAGAAGGGATCCGAATCTCGGCCGGTCTCGTCGTTTTCATTTTCTTTAAGCATTGAAGTTTCTTCAGACGGCGGGGTACGCCTGCTGTCGTCAAGGAGGACACGTGTGTTCTGGGTCTCGCTGGTTGAAGTGTAAACACCCGTGACGTCGTTCACAGTCGCGTAATGAGAAGTGACGTCCGCGGTTGAGTAATTAAAAGTGACGCTGGTGTTGGCAGGGTAAAGGTCACCGGCGTCTTTGTTTGAAGAGCTGGTCACCTCGGGGCGGATGTCGGTTCGGGAGACGGCTGGACTCGGCGTGGAGTAGCTGTCGCCGTTGTCCCCGCTCACGTCCGCGTGAAGAACGTCGACAATCAGCTCGGGGACTGAAGGAGACGAGACAGCGGCATAGGTGTCGCCGAGGTATTCGTCCGTCAACTCCTTCCCCGAGTCGAAACTTCCCCGCTCGTACATATCTACCTGCGGTGACTCGTCTTCTATTGTTCCTTTCTTCTGTTTCGATTTCCCTTTACCGCGGGTCTTCTTCTTTTTCTTCTTGGCTGTATTAGAGTCGGAAGTGGCGAATGCATCCAGCGAGGCCAAATTCTGTGCCGAGACATAATGACCGGAACTGATGGAACTGCGCCTCGTGCTGTCTTCATACTGCAGAATGGGCTGTCCGGCAACTCTTTGACCACGCTTGCCTTTCGGCGTTGACTGGTCATTGCCCATGCTGTCCTCGACTATTTGTTTCCCCCTGATGTGCTAACTGCTCGTCGAAAACTTGCTACAAGTGAATAAGGCCAAAGTCTGAACAACCGCTCCCAGTGCGGGGAGGAAAAAACTCTTTGTTTTTAACTTTGAATGACATCTGTAGGACCAACACCTTCCGCCGCCCCGCTCCCTTTAGCTTATACAGCCTGCTCATCAGCCCCCTCAACTGTTGACATAGCCAGCTCCAACCTCACCAGCTTCAAGCCAAACTTGCCCCCCTCACCATGTGTAACATGTTGACACTGTACCTAATCATCATAGCCACGATTCTGTGGATTAACGTGAACCCGTCTAGCGCAGCACTCGGTATGTCTAGTGTTGACACTGGCCCTGGCCCGTGTTTGTAGTATCTTTTCCCGTAGGTTGGCCAAACCCGTTCCTCTATTGTTGATCTCAGTACACGCTGGCCTCATTAGAAGGCCAGTAGTTAACTCTAAACTAAATGACTCGCGACTTTCTATTGATGACGGAAAAAACGACCAACGACAAAGAAAAATGGTTTTGAAACCCATGAAAAGAGACTTCAAAACAAAGAACTAAGGAGAAAAAGTGAAAAAATAATACCCTTGTCACTCCTTAAACTGACTGAGCTATTTTAAGCCATCTTAAAAGGATTTGACGTGTTAAGTTGAAACTGGCAAATGCAATGCAGTACTACAAATAAAACCTGTTGTTGTTTTTTTTTTGGGGGTTGGGGGGGGGGGGGCATATAGAGGCCTAACAGAATTGTTAGAAAATAATTACCTCTATATAAATTAAATACATTTTCTTAAAAATGCATCAAATCAACATGAAAGGAATCAATCTACGGTTATTTTTTTTTTCTTTTCTACGCCTCTGTCAGTGACAAGGTCACGATGTTCTCATTCTGTCAACTATAAATCTCTTTAAAGGAGCGAATATTTTATGAGGTATTTTTCCCTAATTTACATAACATAACACCTCTGTGTTTAGCTATGTTGGTCACAGTAACCAATCAGTTTCTCTTTGAAAGAGTCTAGTGGGTCAAAAGGAAAAACAACCTAAATCGTTTGTTGGGAAAGTTACCATCACATTCATTAGGTCTAAAATATTTAATTAGGTCTTTTGGTGAGATATTTACCATAAAAGATTTAATTTAGCAGAAAGAAAAATTAGAATTTCCCTAGAAAAACTTTCGTTTCTACAGACAGTTCAACAAAAGTAGAGGGCAAGTTTATAATGTAGAAAGATCAATTCCTTAAAAACTAACCAAGACATGGGTTGCTTATTTCACATTTTGGTATTTTGGCAAAACAAAAACAGAGCTACTTAACTAGAAAGCATGGAGCAAGTGTTTTTTTTTATTCACCATCTAAAACTATTATTGAATCGATGCTAGACACATCCTCAGTTAATTTTAACAGTATGACTACTTTCTATTATTATTTTTCTCTTAATTGTTATGTTCTTCAGGTTTCATCACAAATTGTATTGTTTAAATGAAAGTATTCAGCCTATCTATGCTCCATCCCTTTTGCCCATCAGCCCTGGTGAGTATCTGACATAAGGCCACACAACCCCTTCATATCCTGTGACTATTGATACATCTTCATCTACCACATCTGTACCTCATATGCCACAGAACCAACTGTATGTCCTCCCTATGTGTAGATATGTCTTAAAAGGGTACAACTATAACATAGACCCTACTATATATGCTCAAGATGAACCAGAGTTTAGGTCTGCTCCATACAAGAACAGCCTGCCTATCTGAAGCAGTGTTTTCAATTATATCAACAGAGTGGCAGAGTGGTAGAGCACTCAACTGCTAGTCTCTAATTCAGCTCTAGGACTCATGTCTGTAGAAAGTAGGCCTGCCTGATGGATACTTGACTTAGGGAATGTAAAGTAGGCTGGGTATAGTATTGGCCACACTATCCCTTCATATGCCATGGTCACAGAGGCCAATGAACTCTACTCCACCTGCACAAATGACCATCAGATCTAAAAATGCACTTACCTAACTAATTACCCAGACTGACCATTAAGTTCCATACAAGACCCAACCTGGCTAACCCATGCAGTATTTTTAATTATATGGCTATGATTTGCCTTGTGAGACAAAGAATGCACCCAGATAAATGGGGGGGGGGGGGGGGCCTGCCAGGGCATTGGATGAAGAGATCATGGGTTGCACATGGAACTATAATACCAAACTAAATGCCAAGATTCAACACTGAGCTCTATGTGAGCCCAACTTGTCAAGCAGCACACAGTATAAAAATCATAAAGCCTGACTAAATGCCAAGACTCACCATTGAGCTCCATGCCACTGTAAGAGATAAAGATTTTGTGCTGCCCTGCCTCTGTGGGTGTGTAGGAGACACTGTGTTCTAGGGGGGCCAACTCATCCATGTTGTAAGGGAGAGTTCTGCCTGATGGACTCTGTATGCGCACTTCTACCTTACCCTGTCCTGCCTGGGTGCAGTCCACTGTAATCACAAGCATTTTCAATTTGTCTTCATTGTAATTACAAACATTTTCATTTAGTCTTCATTGTAATTACATCTAAGCTTGCATTCTACATTAATGCACTGAGTAATGATTTTCTAATAGTCATAGTTTTGTACAAAAGGCATATGAACTATATCAAGCCAAAAAGTATATTTAATGTTGGATATTAATGTTGTCCCTTAAGAATATGAAAAGGGATGTAACTGGGTACAGTCCACTGTCATTTAGTCTTCATTGTAATTACATCTTAGCTTGCATTCTACATTAACCCAATAAGTAATGTATTTTATTCTAATAGTCATAGTATTATTCAAAAATGATACATTATCCTATACATGTTACTTATCTAAGCTTACAAAAGGGATTTGAATTATATCAAGCCAAAGAGTAGGTTTAATGATTATCAAAAGGGACGTAACTGCTGCCAGGAAGAAATACCTACATTTGAAGCCAGCAGTTTCATTGATGTTCCCATGGTGGAAGTTGTTGACTCTGATCTTGTGGATGTCAAACACATCAATATGGAATGGACTGCCCTGAATTTGTTGGCCACCATATAATACATCCACAGAGTGGCGACCTGCAACAAACAATTTGATTGTTTTCATTAAACTACAATAAAAAAAAGATTTAATAACACATTTTAAAACAAGGAAAACTACAAAATTAACACATTATCAGGGGTCAGCGTGGTCGAGTCGGTAAAGCTGTCGGTTGCTAAACCAACAAGTCCTGAGTTTGAACCCCAGGGCAGATGAGGCTCAATAGCTGGGGACAGTAACTTATCTAGGAGAGACAACTCCAAAATCAAACAACTGCTGCCTTGTAGTTTGTTCTTGGTTGGACAAAGGCTATGGAAGCAAATCCAAAAAGAACAGCAGGTTGAAATTGCAGTCTCAATGGCGCATAACCAGTTGACATATATACTTAATTGTGTTGAAGAAAAAACACATTATCCCTGATTGAATTACTGTTGAAAGATTTGTCCATCTAAATGTATTCCTTACAGTCACTATTTATGTGTTATGGACTTGAACCTAGGATCCAAACTTGAGACTTTTCAGTTAACAGTTGAAAGCTTCACCATTTGACCACACTGTCCCTTTATCAATGCTTATATTGTATTGTTATTGAACCAGTGAAAATAGGAAGATAAAATGTATCATTGCTCATCATACCTGGGCGAGTAGGTGTCCATTCCACCTTGTAGTCTCCATCAGGTTGTTGGATAAGTCGAGCTGGAATGTTTTCTCCATTGGGGGCTGCAAGAAATTTAACACATTATTTAATAGAGTCAAACATTTTTCAGATCATTTCAGTTCTGAAGTGATGATCTATTGATAGCACACAAGTGTTAAGTATTTTGTAGGATTCACGCCATCTTACACATTTAGCTGAGGGAATAAAATAATTTTAAAATATAAATTTGTAAACATATCTGAAAAAATTAGGAACAAGATATACATTTTTAAGCATTCTAATTATCTAAGTTTACAAAAAAAAAATTAAATTAATTTAAAAAAAAAAAAAAGAGAATCAGCAGTTACATAAAAAATTGCAATGAATATTTTTTGAATTATAGCAAAACACAAAAACGTTTTATGCTTAATGCATTTATAATGTAAGACACAAACCATTGTTAAGATAAACTACAACTAAAAGATGGAACAAATCCGTACCAATAATCTACTATACAAGGTGCAAGGCTAAGTTGGAAAGGCTTTTAAAACGTGGGTTAGTTCATCATAATTATATTCATTGCTAATAACAAATGAGTTGATTCAATTAATGACACTTGAATATACAGTATAGTCAAAATGTCATTGTGCCAGAATGCATATATGCCCATAGCATATTGATTAACTAATTACTAATTTGTCCCTTCTAATAATTTTAAAAGTTTTATTGACATTAGCTGTGCTTCAGTAAATGTTATAGAAAGGTGATGGTGCAGCAATTAACCTAATTAAAGATAAATTACCTGAATAAACCTATTGATATAAATTCTAGGTTGAATAAAACATATGTTGACATGAAGAACAGAATCAAAATATTTTACAAAGTTAGTGTTAATCAAAAACACTGGTGGTCTTGTTAAATTAAAAATAAACCAAAAGTTACCAGGTGTCAAAAAAGTTTGAATAAAATAAAATGTTTTGCATTAACATTTTCAGATATTTTACTGTCTAGAAATTTAATATTTTTATTGCTGTATTTTTATATTTTTTTTCAGTTTAAAAAGCATAAGCTGATTTATGAGAAATTTTGGAACAAAATAAAAAAAAAAACAACCTTTAACATTTTAGCTTCATATTTTAAAAATGTTGATACATAGCCGAAAAATTCTCACCAAAAAAATATACAGCTAATATAATTTTTAAACCTGCAATCTTAGTGAAAAAGTATGTCAAATACAAACAATTAAAAAGTATATTTCTTCAGACAAATGAGAAGTGATACAAGATTCTGAAACCAACCTATTAGTTCATGCAACAGAGTAAAATTTAACTAAATACAATTTGTTTTTAACTATAAACCTTTTCCCCATCTAGTTAACTAAGTGTGCATGTTTCTAGAAGACGTGGAGGTGTAAACTTGCTTTCATACTTGCAAGTGATCTGTCATGTATATTTATTTGAGTAAATAATTATACAAAAAAAAAGTAAAATTGATTTTTAGACTAATGATCAATATGGCAGATGAAATAAAATTCAACTGTCTTTTTAACCTTGACTTATGATAGTATTACTGGCTTGTTTTTTTTTTACTTTCCCCAACTCAAGTTAGGCAACAATCACATCAGGGCTGACTGGGGGTGGGGTGTACTATGAACTCAACCCCAGGAACAGATGAAGCAACCTTTGGTTTTGCAACTCCAATACCAATCCCAATTTGTATTCTGGAGTTCTTTCAAGTAAGAACTATTTTATGACTATTTAACCTGGAATGGTCATCTATCTTAACATGATTTGTGAACAATTCATAACTTAACAAAATTCAGGTGTCTCCAAATTTTAAGTCCAGCCGATTTACAAAAAGAAATTAAAGAAATATACCAACATCTGTAAAAGATCTGACAGTTTTACACAAGCATAAAAACAGAATCATGCATATCTGTAGAACAAAGTAAAGCAAGAGTATCTAAGCATGACATGCCCTTAGATCCACACCATCTAGATCAACTAAACTCCCATCCACCACCAGCTAACATGGGAGAGAGCCATGCCGGGGTCCAGACAACCTAAGATCATGACGTCCAGCATGTCCTTGTCAACTTTATGGCCACTGGTGTGGAGGACAAACCAGTTTCTTCCTTTAGTGTTGATTGGCTCTACACTGGAGAAGTTGATGCGAATGAAGGTGGGTCTGTCCTCTTCTACTTCAATTATCAATGGTGAGCCTTTAAGGAAATAGTTACATTTTGATAGTTACTATCATTTACAAATATATTTAATTCATAAAGAAGTTATATCAGTGGACAGTTACCATTGAATAGTTATTATCATTTACAATTATATATAACTGGTCAAGAAGTTATATTAGTGGACAGTTACATTTTAATAGTCAGTATTACATAAAGTTATACTTAATCAGCAGGTAACTTATATCAGTGGACATTAGAATTGTCAATTTCATTTGAAATTATATTGAATTATGTATTACAACTTGAGACATTTAACAAATTATTATACTAAACATTAAGTACGTTAATCAACAATTGTAAATTAAATATCTATTATGGCTCGTTATATTGTTTTACTCAAAATACAAAGTGCAAATGGCTTATGAAGTAATAATGTTCTAACACGGATTATGAAAATCTAACTTTGTAGCAATCTATTTGATTAGGGCCAATTTAACAAGTTTTTAAAGGCAAATACTGACCTGGGATGGTATCCCCATTGAAGGTAGCCTTGACCTCATAGCGCCCCACAGACAAGGGTTTAAAGGTATAGTTGAACTGACCATCATCTATCTGATGGCATTCTGCATGTACAGGTTGTCCTTTGTGTGTTATCTGGACATCCAAATTACCAGCACCAGCAGATGATGTGTCAACTGTTGAGTTCAAACAAATTAGTTAGAAGTACATTCACAGGGAAATTTAGAACCAACATTGCATGTAGTACATCATGTTAATAGAAAATGTGTGGGTCAAAATTATAGGGCCAATAGCATGGTGAAATTGGGTCTGGTGAAAGCTGCCCTTTTGGCATGGCCCCAGGACTGTTCCTTGTACAACCAAGCTTGATCCAAACACTGGCCCCTATACACCCCAATCAAGAAAAAACTATATGGGGCACATGCAGATTAGATACCACAGTCCAGTTCATCCACAAAGTTGGACTTGTTAAATCCTCTAACATAAACTCAATTAAGAACGCAGAAAAAGAAGAAAACCAAACAATAATGCAAATGAAATGAAAATAATTTTAAAAATTAAATGTTTTGAAAAAACCTTTTAATTTGTGATTGAATTTCAAGTGTTTAATTAAATTTCAAGCAAGTTTATTGAGTATAATAATGTCAACATTTTAATTCATCACTTACTAGTAAATCCGATTTCTCTTTCTTTCTGTGGAGTTTTGTCTACATCAATGATTCTAACAGCACTTGGATCATACACATTGCAGGTGAAAGGGCTGCCATTGATGGGGGAATCCCCCACATTGACATGAATCTTGTGAGGACCAACTTCCAGCGGGGTGAAGTTCATTCTCAGATTACTGCCATGGTTTATCAGTCTAGCAGGTACGGTATTACCACTTGGTGCTGGAAATAAAAGGAAATTCTTGTCTCAACCAAGCTAAATTATTATCATAAAAACAAATAGCTGTTTAATATAGCACAAAAGTGATTGAAAATGTGTTTCTTATCTTAATGAATTTTATAATTACTAAAAACACTTCCCCTTAACCCGTATTGTTCCAACTCCACTGTTTTGTTTTCTAGATTTATTCAATGTTATGTTTTAAATCCACCAGTGGATCACTGCAAAATATTTACGGCCATATCTCTCACCATTATTACTCAGCAATTCCATTTGACCAAGTGTTTAATAAATTAATGTTAAAGATCAACAAACTTTAAAGACGTGAAAATGTTTGCAAACTGAATCTTAGGACAGTTCAGAGGAGGTGAATGTCAAATAAATAAACTTTACCAATAATTTGGACATCCATGTCTCTCTCATCCAACCCTTGATGTTCCAATGTTAGCCCAGATTCTTTGAAAACTTTAGCTGACCGCAGGCCATCTCCAGACAGATTTACACTTGTGCCATCAATAACAGCTACCTCAAATGGTGTGCCTTCAAGTTTAAACAAGTTGATTTCAGTTAATAAACTGTACAATAATATATTACTAAGATAGAAAAATAATGTTGAGATAAGTGTCGTTAACATGGTGATTTCAGATCAGCTGTACAATAATATATTACTAAGATAAATGAAACTTGTTGAAATAATGTAAATATGTTCAGGAATATCAGGCTATTATAAAGTAGGTTTCATTAATATATTACTGAGATAAATGAAAGTTGTTGAAGTAATGTAAATATTTTCAGGAATATCAGGCTATTATAAAGTAGGTTTCATTAATATATTACTAGGATAAATGAAAGTTGTTGAAGTAATGTAAATATTTTCAGGAATATCAGGCTATTATAAAGTAGGTTTCATTAATATATTACTGAGATAAATGAAAGTTGTTGAAGTAATGTAAATATTTTCAGGAATATCAGGCTATTATAAAGTAGGTTTCATTAATATATTACTAAGATAAATGAAAGTTGTTGAAGTAATGTAAATATTTTCAGGAATATCAGGCTATTATAAAGTAGGTTTCATACCTGGTACTTGCAGATCATTAAAGAACAATGTCACCAAATGTGGAGCAATGTTTTGTGGTGTAAAGCTGACATCAAATCTGTCTTGACCAACTTCTCTCAGCCTGCAAGGAATCTCATTGCCCCTGCATTTGACCAGGAAGTTTAACTTGCCTTGACCAGCTGCTGATGTGTCCACTTAAATGACAAAAAAAAGAAATGTATTAAATTTAAATAAAAATCTGAGACAATGGCATACATCCTATATGAACTTGTACATCAAAATGTTATATTCAACAATCCGATATATGGCAAAAATTTTGTCATTGCAAGATAAAAAAAAAAAGCCAGTGATACTTTTTGTAAGTAAAACCACTTTATATTAAACTGTGACCTACTGTTCAATTTCACACTGTTTTAGTACACTTATTTCTAAACCATTTATGCATGTTATAATTTATTAAAACAACCTATTTAAAATAACTTTTGGAAAGGCTTTAAATATTATCAGAATTATAAAACACCTTAACTATTTGAATCAGTGTGAGTTCCCTATGATTTCACAGTTTACTTACCATTAAAGTGCATAGGTCTGCCAAAATAGGCTCTTCCAGGGGCATTCACTCTGATTAGAGCTGGATCAAAAACATTGCAAGTGAATGGACTTCCCCTAACAGGACTCCCAGCACATTCTACATACACCTTGTATAAACCTGAAGAAAATAAATGTAAACACATTTGAGTTGATCATTAAAAATGTTACAATAAATACTAAGTATTAAGAGATTAATCAAGCAAAATTATTTTAAAAAACTAAGGTGAAGAAAATAAATGTAAACACAAGAGATGATCATAAAAAATGTTACAATAAATACTAAGTATTAAGAAATGAATCAAACAAAATTATTTTAAAAAACTAAGGTGGCTGGGCTTTGTGCTGACCACATCCATCTGTATGCTGAGGTCATAGAAAAAGATTAACTCTATCTATTTCATGTGTCTTGTGCATGAAGGGAAAAGATGATGGTGATGATAAAAAGTTAGAGTAAACTACTTACCAACTTCTTGTGGAGTGTAATCAATTCTAAGTCCAGTTTTAGTATTGCCAGAAATATGAACAGGAATTTCTTCTCCATAGGGAGCTGTGAGGAGTGAAAATAAACAAAACCTTTACATTCAGAATAAATAAATAGACTTCAACACTAAACTATTAATAAACATTTTTTTTTACAAGTTATTTCCGAAAACAAATTTCTTAAGCTTTAAAAAAATGATTTAATAAAATTTTTAATTAAAACTTAAAGGAAGAGTAAAATCTTTGTTGATAATTGAATAGAACTAGAAAAGAACTGATAAAATACACTAAATATGTATGTTCTATATTAAGACTGCCTTAAATAATTGAAGAAGATATACTGGGGGTCAACTTACACAAAACTCTGACGTTAAGCCTGGCATCACCAGCATGTCTCATATTGACATGGAAACTTGTGGGGAAATTAGCAGCAGCCATAGTGACTCCACTCCCTGTCACTTGGACACTCTCAGGGTCAAGGATGGGGCACTGATGAGGGCTGCCTAAAGTAAGAAGAAAGCAATTGGTTCAACGATAATTATAGTTAGAACATATGTTCAATTATATAGGTTTTAATATGTTCAAGACCATTTGTCATGTAGATTTTAATTATGTTTGATTGTTGTCTGGAATTTACAATTAAAAACAGAAACTGTACAATTTAAAGCTAACATAACAAAAATGTTCAATAGAGATGGTAGTCTCCAAATATTAGCCATATGTTGAAACAAGAAAGTGAACATGATTATAATAATAAAATAATATGTTGATAAACTTAAGCATTAGGACAGCTTCTATTGAGATGATTTAGTAAGATCATACCTACCATAGAAAATTGAACAAAATGAATGAAACTACAATAGCATTTTAACACTAAAGGTACAGCTGTTATTAGTAAAATAGACTAAAAGTTATGTGCTTTAAAAATAACTTGAATAGGACTCTTTAGAAAATAAATTATTGTACACAAAAAAAACAATATTATAACATAGGACTGCAACAAATCAATACTAACTATTGTGAACAGCTGTGCTATAGCCTAAGATTCAACACACAGAGTGTAATTAGATGCTAAAAAGCTTTCCAGGATTAGATTGTTTGTTCAGTACATTCACACATAGACCACATTATGGAATGCATCATTAATATTGAGCTAAAAGTGTGCTCATTTCACAAAGCATTGGATATGAAATAGCATCAGCATTGGATATGAAATAAAGATTTCACACACTGGATGATAGTTAACGTTTAAGTTTTACACAAGAAATAAATTACAGGCATTAAAACTGATTATTATCCAAGAGGTTAAATGTTTTACTAAGTTATTAACAATTTTTTTTTTTAAATATGAAGTCACTATAAAAAATATTTAAGCTTAACTGGCAACACACTCGCCCTTTAAAACTGCAGTACAATTTTTTCATTATAGTTTAACCCAGATTTCCCTGTTCCCATGTGTGTAAACTAATATTTGATAACACTCAGCCTCTCTACTCACTGTTGACAGGTATAACTGGTACATTTGCATAGGTAAACTACCAAGGCAAGCCATGTCAATAACTTAGCCCCTTACAGCATCCTTCCCACCCTCCAAGGATTGCTGTGTACACAGTCATGGAAATTGGGGCACCCAGCTATTGAATCTTTTCTAAGCAATATATTTTCTACTAGTATTAGAAATAGAACTTGTGAGGGGTATTGCAGTTTATAGGGCAAATATCATAGCTAACCAGTGATGGAAATTGGGGCACCCAGCTATTGAATCTTTTCTAAGCAATATATTTTCTACTAGTATTAGAAATAGAACTTGTGAGGGGTATTGCAGTTTATAGGGCAAATATCATAGCTAACCAGTGATGGAAATTGGGGCACCCAGCTATTGAATCTTTTCTAAGCAATACATTTTCTACTAGTATTAGAAATAGAACTTGAGTATTGCAGTTTATAGGGCAAATATCATAGCTAACCAGTGGTGCAGCATTGAGCTGAGCAATATATATCCATGGGAAACATTTTACATGTGTAAAACCAAAGATTAAAATTCTGCTTAGGTCAGCAACTTAAGACAAAAAAAGAAACATTTTCATGTTCTAGAAGACTTAACTTGTTCTAAAAATTGTCAGTGATTAGAAAATTTAAAAAATTAAAATGTGATTATTACTGTTTCAGACAAAAGAGCTTATGTTAAATGATGAAACTAATTAATTAATTAAAAAATCAGTGAGAAGCTAGATGTGATATTTAACCAGATTTTAAAACAATATAAATATAACGAATATTCCTTTGTTGATGGTTAAGATGAAAAAAGTATTAATCACAGTTAATAAAATTACAAGTTAAAAGAAACTGATCCGAAATAATAAATATATGAACAAACCCACCTTTCACAGCCTCCCCATTAAACTGTGTGTGAATAAGATGAAGACCTGCTCTCTTAGGTGTGAAAGTCACCTTAAATTTGGTATTCCCCTCTTCCTGGACATAGTTTGGAACTATTTCATCTTCACACATGACAAGAATTTCTAAATTCCCATCTCCTGCCTCACTGGCATCCACTATGGAGAAAATAAATGTGTGAATAGAAAAAGATAATAGCTGTATATTTATAGGCTTGAATTTATAGTTTTACATTATATTTATTTACTGTAAATTATATTTATTTATTCAATATAAATTATATTTTTACAAGGATATGTGTAAGACTTAAGACAAAGCTGGTATCTTAAATGTTTTTTAGTTTAAACCTGTTCAATGATAGACACATCAACTGTTGATTAACCCAAAGATTAGTAAAACATTCCCTTTAACTCTACTTTTAACATTCTTATTGCAAATCTTTCTTTTTTAAAGAAACTGTACCAACTTATGATTAAAAGTATGAAATCTTGTTGTGTTTTCCCCAGGATGTTTATTTAAGAAAATATTACAAAGTTAAAAATGGGTTGAGAGACTTACAGTTAAAGGACAAAGGTCTGTTGACCAGCCCAGGGGCTATGTTAGATACTCGAACTCTGGAGGCATCAAAAACTCTGATAGTGAAAGGGCTGCCTTGAATTGGGACACCAGCATAATCAATATACACTTTATGAGCACCTGTAATGGATAATGATACATTATATAAATACTTTTTTCTAGGCCTGTATAAATATACATTAATTTAGGTGGGCAGTTTTGAACATCACACTTTTACAGCTCTTTTGAAATGCTTGTTACATAAGTAACAAATCAAGTATCCTTACAGACATAACAGTTCAGATGGCAGATACAAATAAGTTCATATGTTTCTGTGACATTGACATATTTGTTCTGCACCAACTAGAGTCAGGTACCCATAATAGCTGGGTAGACTCAGGGACATCTTATGGAATCGAGGCCAGACACCAAACATAAAACTTTTAAATTAGCAAGTGTGTACTCTATAACTTGTCCATGTTACCACATATTGCTATCATTTAATTTTTCAAAACAAGCTTATTAAGTAATTCCATACTACATACTATTCTTAACATAATATACTAAAACTATTTCTTTCATTGGCATAAAGACTAATCAGTGCTGATAAGTAATGCTCATAAGCATTTGCTTCCTCCCCTGTAGTATTGCACTACATGGTTTGTATAGATGGGTCATTATAGTCAGGGGATGATGTACAGTCTTGAGCCCATGTAGAAAAACTCATAACTTTCAGGTTAGCAAGCACATTCTAATACCATGCCATCCAATAAAAACATATTTGCAGCTGTGGGATATGAACCCAATCATTCAAAGAAGCAGGTTACATAAACTTCTTTATACAACTTGATCACACTACCTGTTTGTACTACTACTAAAAGAGCTTACCATTGCTACCTGTTTGTAGTACTACTAAAAGCTTACCAATCAAGCTGCCTGTTTGTACTACTACTAAAAGAGCTTACCAATCACGCTACCTGTTTGTAGTACTACTAAAAGCTTACCAATCAAGCTGCCTGTTTGTACTACTACTAAAAGAACTTACCAATCATGCTACCTGTTTGTACTACGACTAAAGGCTTACCAATCATGCTTCCTGTTTGTACTACTACTAAAAGAGCTTACCAATCATGCTACCTGTTTGTACTACTACTAAAAGAGTTTACCAATCACGCTACCTGTTTGTACTACTACTAAAAGCTTACCAATCTATCTGTTTGTACTACTACTAAAAGCTTACCAATCAAGCTGCCTGTTTGTACTACTACTAAAAGAGCTTACCAATCACACTACCTGCTTGTACTACTACTAAAAGTTTACCAATCAAGCTGCCTGTTTGTACTACTACTAAAAGAGCTTACCAATCACACTGTACTACTACTAAGAGCTTACCAATCACAGTAGGGTGCCAGTCAATCTTACAAGTTCCATCTCCTCTGTCACTCAGTCTACAAGGGGCATTAGAGCCATCAGGAGCTGTGGATATAGGTTTTCAGATCAATACAGGATCTTTGATCAATATTCTTTTGATTTCATGATATAGGTTCTCATATCAATACAGGATCTTTGATAAATATCCTTTTGATTTCATGATATAGGTTCTCATATCAATACAGGATCTTTGATCAATATCCTTTTGATTTCATGATATAGGTTCTCATATCGATACAGGATCTTTGATCAATATCCTTTTGATTTCATGATATAGGTTCTCATATCAATACAGGTTTTTTGGTAAATATCAAATCAATACAGAATCTTTGATAAATATCCTTTTAATTACACATGATATAGGTTCTCATAACAATACAAAATCTTTGATCAATATACTTCTTTTGATTACATGATATAGGTTCTCAAATTACTCCAGAATCTTTGAAAATATACTTCTTTTGATTACATGATATAGGTTCTCAAATTACTCCAGAATCTTTGAAAATATACTTCTTTTGATTACATAATATAGGTTCTCAAATTACTCCAGAATCTTTGAAAATATACTTCTTTTGATTACATAATATAGGTTCTCAAATTACTCCAGAATCTTTGAAAATATACTTCTTTTGATTACATAATATAGGTTCTCAAATTACTCCAGAATCTTTGAAAATATACTTCTTTTGATTACATAATATAGGTTCTCAAATTACTCCAGAATCTTTGAAAATATACTTCTTTTGATTACATAATATAGGTTCTCAAATTACTCCAGAATCTTTGAAAATATACTTCTTTTGATTACATAATATAGGTTCTCAAATTACTCCAGAATCTTTGATCAATATCTTTCTTTTGATTACATAATATAGGTTCTCAAATTACTCCAGAATCTTTGATCAATATCTTTCTTTTGATTACATAATATAGGTTCTCAAATTACTCCAGAATCTTTGAAAATATACTTCTTTTGATTACATAATATAGGTTCTCAAATTACTCCAGAATCTTTGAAAATATACTTCTTTTGATTACATGATAGAGCTTCTCATTTCAATTTGAAATCTTTGATCAATATAAATCTTTTCCTTGCATGCTTTAAATGATCAAACTGGTGCACTATAATTAACTTGCAAATACTGAACTATTAAAAATTAAAGTAGGCCAATGTCAATAAATCTATTCTAATTAAATGTTGATTTGCAACACTTTCAAAGGTAAACAAATTAAAATTGAGAAGCCCAAAAGTTTAGTAGACTAACCAATAATTCTGACAGACATTTCCTCAAATGAGCCATGGGGAGAGACCACATTGAAGCCAGCCTTCTTGTTGCATGAGACGGCATTCCACTGGTCACCAGTTATCCTGATACCACCAACATCAATCACATTTACACTGTACGGACTCCCTGGTCAAATTACATACAATTTTATTTTAATTAATGAAGGTAATTTTGTAACAAGTACAACAGCCGAGAAAATGTTTTTTAATTAATGTAGGTAATTTTTTAAATTGATAAAGGTAATTTTATAACAAGCAATGCGCAAGAGTCTGTAGTGAACAAAAGAAGGGGGGATGAATTGGGGTGTATGTTGTTGTACCTGTTACCCTATTCCCTTTGTCCCTGTTCAGTTCCCGTACTGTGAGTTGTAATAGTCCAGTTTGTACCAGTTTATGAAAGGGTATATAAGGTGTATGAAAACGTGTGCGATTGCCTCAATTTTGTCCAGATCTCCAAGGATAGTATACGTTAGGTCTATACTGGTATTTAGCCACTTTATTGTAGTTTAACTAGCTTTTTGTATTTTTTATTTAGAATAGACTGTGTTAGGTGTATATAGTGTAGATACTATTAAATTCTTTTAGTTTTAATGAGCATTTGTTTTCATTCAGCCTTGTTTTGTAACCCGTTTGTGGTTGTTTGTCTTATGTGTTGAGCTACGCATCCGATCAGCCTTAAGGCATGTCTGTGTGTTCGCAACAGTGTCAAAAAAATTTTTTATAAATGAAGGAAATTTCTTTTAATTAGTGAATATAATTTTATAACAGTGGAGGATTTATTTTTACCTTGGACATGCATGTCATTATACAGTACATTCACTTTGTACGAGCCCTCATGGTGAGCAATGAAACTGCATTCATATTTGTTTTTACCCACTGTCACTGCATTGTTGGGAATGTTCTGGCCATTGTGGTTGATTGTTATCTCCAGAGTGCCATCCCCTGCCTCAGAAGCATCAACTAAAGCAGTAAAAATATTTAAATTATTGCAATCTGGAAAAAATTACTATCTCATGTTATAATTTTTAATAAATATTTGTGAATCAATTTTACAAAGCTGGTAGGACAAATCTAAATTTTTTGTGTTTTCAACAATTTTACAAATTATTTGTATCAATTTTTAAAAAGGTACTCATTATTAAATAATACAAGAAGGGACACAAAACATTTTGTCTATAAACTGACCATTAAATTTACAAGGCACACCAACAGTCCCTTGCTTGACTCTGGTGATTTTCACTTTGTTTGGATCAAATGTTCTGACACCAAATGGACTGCCTTTGATGGGCAACCCAGCCAGAGTAGCTTTTACTGTGTGGATACCTTCATAAAACAATTGAAAGCATGATGAGTTATATCGGTAAATCTGATTAGAAGTGTATTATTTTTTTATAGATCAAAAATGAAAAAAAGTAACTGTGTATAAGAGGAACTTGGAGAATTAACTAAATTATTTTATTGAATGTTTCAAGAATTTCATGTCTTAGCATAGCACTCAGTATATCAATAGATGACATGATGCTGATTGGTTAGACTACACTTGATGAAGATATCATGCTAAGGATAGCTAATGACCTTCACCCTTGGGAGACCATCAGCCTGTGTTTACAGGGGAGGAGTCAGCATGGCAAGTTTACCACTCAGGTACATCCTTACTTTCTAATTTTACATTGTCATATCACAGAGGATGAGGACTTGAACTAACTTTTCTGTCTTATTAAAGCTGATTTATATTATGGTCCCTACTCAGCTTTCTTAAGCATTATATATACTTATTTTTTTTATAATGGACAATGTAGTTTGCTAGAGGAATTCTCAGAGACTTACCAATGTCTCTAGGCATGTATTCCACATTAAGACTTTTGCCATCTGGATGAAGAGTTATCCTAGATGGAATAGGCATTCCATTTGGTCCTTTTGATTAGCAGTAATAAAAGGCAGAAAAAAATATATGAAATTTACAATTATGGAAAAGATTCATCTTTTAAATACTTTGGCTAACATTTTAATCTGTTTTTAACTGCACCATTAGCTGCAAACAAGTACAAAATGTTCAAATTTAAATTGAATTATTGTAGTTTATAAGTGTCAGATGATAAAGATAAAAGGACTCTGTAAAAACAAAAGCACATTGGTTACAGCAGAGATGCAAATATTTGAGTCTTGACCATCGAGGTTACTGTGTTAATAAATTCTACAGATGTAGGGGCAGAGGCGTGGCGACCCTTCCCGGCGCCCGGGGACAAACTTTTCAATTTGCACCCCCCCCCCTCAAGATTTTGATTTGCACCCCCCTCAAACTTTTGATTTGCAACCCCCCCCCCCCCCCTCAAACTTTCAATTTGCACCCCCCTCAACCTTTCAATTTATTTTTCCAACCCATTTTGGCGCCCCCTAAGGTCGGCGCCCGGGGACATATGTCCCCCCCCCCCTCACTACACTACTGTGTAGGGATGTGAAAGGTTGTTCTTTGCTTTTAATACTACCATGTAGTATTGAATAAAAATAAATGTAAAGAAGTAAGGTATTAGAACAGCAAAATTTTAAGTTTAGCTGAGCAGGGTAGATTTATCTTTGAAGTGAATAAACTTTTCTATGATAAATCTAATAGTAAAGAAGAAGAACAGAATGATAAATTTAATAGTAAAGAAGAAGAACAGAATGAATAATGAAAACTTTATATAAGAAGCTTATCCAAAAGAAACACTATTGGGTAATGATTGAAGGAAGGGCTTAAATTGATAACATTTCAGATCAACTCTCAATGTTTTCAATCTGAAAAGACAGAATTAAAATTAGTTTCTTGTTTCCTGGTGTTCAACTATATCTAGAAGCTGAAAAAGTATTAACTGATAAAACAGTTGTTAGATACCAAAGGAATCAAGTTATATCTACCTTTTTTATGCTGAAAGGAAACATCTCCCTGTTATTTCACCACACCATAGCATGCAAGGCAGCAAGACAAGGGCAGCTACTCTAAACCTCAGTAAACCATCATTCAACTAGATTATATTGGGTGTTTATGCTACAGTAACAATAACAACAGTACAGTGCATCATGCTAATCCCACATGCTACATTACAGACTTACAGTTTTAGTAACAATCTGCTTTTTGTTTAAAACAGTATACAGAGACCCATTACAAGGATTTTAAAGTACTAATTTAACATACATTTACATATTTTTAAAGCATGCTTTACCAATTCAATACTTCATAATGAGATTATAGAAGGTAAATAGTCTTAATTTAAAAAATGATTGTTATAATACAGAGTATAAAAAAGTGTTCATAAAAGTGACAATACATTATTGTTTTGCTTTTTCTGGAAAGATAAAAAAAATCTGGCAATTGATACAAGTTGAAGGAAAACAGGCTTTGATTTAAAAATGAGACAGAATAACCTGTAGTGCATACAATAACATCATAGATTGCAACCATCACCATAGCACAACTCACAACAATAATGTTGCTTGTTGGTTCACATTTCAGTCAATACAAAGTAAATGATATAAGAAAAAAACACTGTTAAAAAATTCAGATGATATAATCTACATTGAAAACTTGATTAAGAACAGTTTTTTAATATGAACATAATTAAATATGATCAACTCAATTTTCAGTTTAATATCTATACTTTGCATATACAGATACTTGATTAAAAAAAGTAAGTCTGAAAAACAAAACAGCTTCACCAAAATATTTCACTGTATATAAATTTTAAACAAGAAAATTTATAATTAATGCAGGAAAAAAAACAAATACAATGTAATAATGTATTGTTTTTGGATTTTAAATAGTCAGATAATCTAACTTATTACTGGAAAACTAAACATTGTTATTTCTTAATTAGTAAAAATATTTAAAAATTGAAATAAAAAGATAGTTTTGTTAATGTGCAACCTTTCTCAAACTGTGAGCAGTTTTGAAAGGTATTGTTCATCCCCATGCTAGACCACGTAACCTTACCTGTGATGATGACCTCAGTTGGAAGGGAAGAAATGTTTGCCTGAGACTGGATATGAAAGCTGGATGGCTGCTGGACTGGGATGAGTTGATGTAGGCCAACAATGCTGGCATTCAGATCATGGGCTATGCATGTCAGGGGGGAGCCTAGGAAATATTTGAACAGTTCTGATATTATTTTCTCAGTTTAATAGCATTTTTACCATGTCTGTAAACTTAACATAATTTATTTTAAATTTTAGTCAGTGTGCACCCAAATAATTTGACAAGCTTTATTAAACTTATTTAGATTTAAGTTTAATTTTACATACTGAAAAAATAATTGCACTAATTTTCACTAATACTATCATAAAATGGAAGGTTGTTTGCTCAGCTATAGCAGTTGATTTATTATTGTATACACTCACAGACAGCAATGTTTTACTCGCTCACCTAGATTGAATTAGCTTGGTACTCACATTTCAAATGGTGGTCGTTAAATAAAATCTCAACCACTTGTTCCCCTGGCTCTGTGGGGATGAACTTGATCAAGTATTTTCCTACCATTTCAGGTTCAACTTCATTGGGAATGTTTCCTTTGTTTACCATTATCTGAAGCTGGCCTTCCCCTGCATCCCCAACATCAACTGCAAGAAAACAAACATTAAATTCAATTGAAAGCTAGTAATTCAAAAAAAGCATTGATTAATCAAGAAATAAATATTTCATGAATTATAATTTTGTTTAATAAAACAATTTTTTAAATAGAAAATAAGAAAAATGACGTACTCGTAAAGTGCATTGGCTGATTGACAAAACCATCATCCAGGGGGGAAACAGAAATGGCTCCAATGTTGTAAGCTTTTGCAGTAAATGGACTACCATTTACATGATGATCGCAGTATTTTACATAGATTGTGTACTCGCCTATAAAATACAGATAATTCTTTTAGTATCACAAAGAAACAAAATATTTTTTTTAAAATAATAACGGGCCTATAAAAAATGATAAGGAAGTATTTGTGTAAAAACTAATTATCACTTGTTTTTTTTAAATTTCATAATTTACTTTAAAAATAAATTATGGATGGCTGATATGCCAGAGAAATAGAGTTGAGAAGATCACACCAACATTGAAGCTTGTATACAACTCAATACAAAATGTTTTTATATGTTCAGTCACAGATGTTTGACACCAACTACATGTTGAAACACAGCATTGAACCAAAAATGTTTTAAAGTTCAATTTAAAAAATGCTCTACGTGCACAAGTTCTTAGCCACCCACACCAAACTACTACTTAACTAGCTGTATGCTAAATGTCATTTGTTTAAAATCATTTCCCCACAATGTATCAACCTTTCACAACATAGATGGAACTCTACCAACAACAGCTATCACCATTATACTAAATTACTGACAATCTAGCTAGACCCAACAGACAATTGTTAACAACACACGCATCTGAGCAAACTAATTAAGATATCAATAGAAAGAAGAAATTACAACTCACCAATCTTTGTTGGGGTGTATTTCACAACAGTGTCCCCAGTTGAATCTGTTGTCTGTTTGTAAGGTACACTGTCTCCATCAGGACCTGGAATAGTTAAGACATCATCAAATTATTAGAAGTTTGTCAATACTGAAGCATATCAATGAAGGTTTATATCATCCTTGAAGGCATCTCTGATAGCTGTTGCTTACTTTTTTTGTCAGAAAAAAAAAATTAGTGAGATAGAAATATAAATTTAGTATGATTAGTGAGATCAAGAGCTGCAAACATGTTAAGGGAGATAATGAGATCAAGAGCTGCAAACATGTTAGGGGAGATAATGACCTGAGGTTAACACATGCGCAGAGGTTAATCTGGGGAAAGTATACACGAGCAGGGAAATAACTGGTTCAACAATTTAAACATAAAGCACACAGAAGAAACTACAAGAGTTAGCTCAACACAATACAATCAAAACAATATTTTTACGTTAGAAAAAAATCTAGCCAACAGAATTTAAACAGAGCAAAGCTTACAATTTAAAGTACATTTTGTAATGCATTAAAGCTATCAAAAAGAATGAAAAAAAAAACCTGGAAAATTGGAAAATGTGCGTAAATATCTTAGAAAATCATTATAAGACACAATTTGGTTAATTTAAATTTCTGAAAGTTTGTTAAACAATTTTAAAATAAAAAGTATTAATAGTTAGATATTAAATGAGCAAACTTATTTATTAATGTAAACAAAATAGAGAAAGAAAAATAATGTACAATATAACTTAAATAATAAGGAAAGGGTGTAATCACTGAAGCTTAATGCAAAAGCTAATTCAAATACTTCTCTTTAAAGTAACACCAAAAGTGTTAATTATCACATACAAATTACTAGTATATACATCCAATCTTCAACATGATAAATGATCTTGTAAAAACTGTAGATGTGAAAATTCACAGCAGACTGATTTCACAGTTGATTAGAAATACATTAAGGCATGGTTCAACATACACATTAATTAACTAAAAATACTATTAAACTTCTTTACATTTCTATACACTAAAACAGCACATTGTATGTAAACTATGATTGCCGTGGAAGAAATGTCTATTTATTCGGATAGCATCCACCCTCCAAGTTATTTTTCCAAAAATTGTATTCTTTAGTTAGATTTCTGTGACTCTTATTGCTGGTACCTTTAATTATCACATCCAGATCATCTTCTGACATTGTCTGGCCGTTGGCTTGGATGTAAACTGAAGTCTTCTCATGACACTGTACCCTATCTTTACCTTTTAAGCTGGCCGCTTTGGGGTCAACTATTAAGATTTTCCACGGACTACCTAAAATAAAAGATTGAGGCTATTTAACAAAGAAAAAGGCTTTATTCACTGACTAAATATCACTAAGATGTAATATATAACGTCCAGCCTGAGAAAAATAGGAGAAAAAAATTAAAAAAAAGTGTCTTTTACAACTACTCTGGGGGGGGGGGGGGGGGGAGAAATTTCCAGGTTTTTAAAATATTCCAAGTATATATTTATATAATATTTGAAATTCTGATTTTGATAAAAAATGAGAAAAGTTACATCTCTCTTAACACTAAAAACATTTGCATTGACATTATACATTTTTTTTTTCTGTAATATCCAACAAGATACTACTAACCTATGACAGGGCTTTCATTAAATGCTATCTCCACAGTGTGAGGTCGGGAGTTCTCAGGTAAAAACGAGGCAGTAAAAACATGATTCCCCCTATTTTTTACATCACACGGCACTCTGCCTTCATTTACACGAATTTCTATATTGCCTGGTCCTGCCTTTGATGCATCCACTGCAATGTAATATAAAAACTGTTTAAAACCATCTATTTTACAATTTGTATTAGTTGATAATACGTTGATGTTTTTATACACATTGATTCTGATAATGTGGACAACTATAGTGTATTGTATTTTAACAAGTGTTCTCTAATATTAGAACATATTTAAAAAGCAAGAATATATTAATCTATATTAACAAGAAACTCCTTACTTAAACATGTTCTGTAAATAAATGCCGGTGACTAAGCATATTAGCTAATTCAAATAACACAGAAGTGGTCTACTGCATTTTAAGGGCAAGAATTTTTTTTTAAAAGCAAATAAGAGAAGTGATTTTTCATCTACAATTGAACATACCAATCAACCATAAAATTTTTATTTTATTTCTGTATTTCTTTTAAAGCAACTTCTATAAATAATTTTATTGATCAGATTTCAAGCTAATATTTCTTTTGTTGTAACTTAAACAAATTAGGGAAAAAGGTGTAGCCCTTATTTTTATTAAATGATATTTGTAAGCTACTACCACAAACAAAATTCTTAAAAAAAAAAAAACAACTTACAACTGAATTGTACCGGATGATCTCGAGTGCCTTTTGACGGCATGTCACTCACCACCAGCTTCCTCATGTCAAATGCTTTAGTGACAAATGGTGAGCCACTAATTTCTTGTTCGGCAAACTTCACTTCAATAGTGTACTCACCTACAGAGGTTAAACTATGTGTAAGTAAATCATAGTTTTTCCATATTTAAGTAACATAACATTAATACTGCATAAAGTTGAAATACAATTATCCACATCTGTATTTTTATATTTTATTCTACAAATGAAGGAAGTTCATTAAGATGAAATTTTTAAACCTAATTGTGAAATAACTAGAATAATTTTTAAAAAAGCTTGTATTCTGATTCTCTATTGTGTTGTCTGCTAGACTAAACTTGTAAAAAGGCTTGAGCTATCTAGATTTTATATCCTGATAGCATCAACCACTAATAGCCAGAGGGGAGTATTTAGCCAGATAAATGGACAGTGTCCTTAACACCCTGTATACTGACACAGTTGTTAAAAAAAAGGTAACACTATAAACTTACTGTCTTCTTCTGTTGCCATTTTGCCTATCTCTCTTCACTTGAACACACACAAAACTGTCATAACCTATCCTCTAAACAGACACACTGCGCTAACAGCTTTATCAATGACCACAAAAAATATATTATTTCAGAGGTTCTAAAAACTTGAAATATGACCATAGGCAACAGATTCACAGTATAAAATGACAATTAAGGAAGGTTAGCATGAGTGAAGATACTATTTAAAAAAAAAAATTATAAACAATCTTTAAAATTATAATAAATTGCAGGTAGATTTATTTTTTTATGGTTTATCCTTATCAAGTACTTTTAAGGATCCACTGGGTTTTTTTTTCCTCAACCTTTTTCAACATGGGTGAATACTACTTGGTAAAATCTGTCATGCTTGACTGGTTTCAAGCAATTGTGCATGTTATTAAAAAATGTATCAACAGTAAGTGATCAATGAATGTAGGAATAAGCCTATTGAATACATATAACGTGGTTCAATGGAGCTGAAGCCATTGATATTCAAACTTATTTTTAATACTGAAAAGGTTAATATTTAGAGTTAAGAATGTCTTTAAACTCCAAAGGAGTGACATTTTTTAGAAATACAACTCTAAAAATGGATTTAATACCTGTTAGATACATAGGTAATCAATTAACTGGTATAAATACCAGTTGAAAACTATAATTAAAATTCAATTTTTTAAAAATTAACAATTATTTCAAGTAGCATAATGAACAATTATATCACCATTCAGAAAAACGGTGAACCATATAATATTTACAGCATACCTTTCTTGCCTGCGGATTTACCAAAAGTAGAAAAGGCATTAGGCTCATGCACAGATGAAGGAAACCTTGTAATGGTATCCACATGCATGGAGGGTGTATTGTTATTGATAGTAAACGAAGACACATTTTTCCCTTGACCAAACTCATTTAATCCATATTGAGATCCAAGTCTATTGATGTTTGTTTGTGAGGAACTTTTAATTTTATTAGGTGAGATTGGAATCACCTCATACACAATTTTGTCTCCAGTGGGCTCATTTCTTGAGTAGCTCATGATATTAGATTTTTTGGAGCTTTTTGACGAGGATGTCAGGTTGGTGACAGTTTTATTGCCTGACTTGTTGTTCATGGTGCTGCTTCTCTGGGGGGCAAAGACTTGTTTCTTCTGTGGCTCATTGGGGGACAAAACCCAGTTGTTCTTGTCAGCGTTACTGCTGCCACTAATAATCAAAGTGTCTGGTCTTGCTGATACACGCCTCGTAGATTCTGGACTGCTGGTAACTATCAACGGCACTGTGCGAGATTCAGTTTTAGATTTAGCGGTGCGTGAAAAATCTGTCAACCCCTCTTCACCTTTGAACAATCTTTTATTTATTCCAATGTTGTCTCCAGCTGATGATGGTGACAAAGGTAAATCTCCAGGACCAGGGAAATTGAAGACATACTTCGTATCATCCTCTCCGCTGGCATAGTTGCCGTGAATAAACTGAAAAGAAGGATCTCCTTTTCCTTTAGTAAAAGCCTTTGAGTAAGATCCTTCTCTGCTACTGAATGTAGAATAATTTGAAAAATGTTTTTCTTCTTGATGAGCAAAAGCCTGGTAATCCATTCCGTCCTGATTGCTATTCAAGGCAAATAGTAGCCAAATGCCAAGGTTTATAAAAAACTATTAAATTGTTCTTGCTTGTCAGCCATTATTTAAAACAGAATTTGAATTAACACTAAAAATGATGTTTTTTTTTTGTTAAACTGCAGTACCTTTTTAACAAAATTTAGCTTTAACACTAAAATTATTTTCTTTTTTTTAACACTGCAGTAGTTTTTTTTTAGACTAAATCTGACACACACTAAAGCTGCTTTCCATTAGAAAGAATTCTACTTATAAAAAGGAAAAAAATAAACACAAGCATTCTGCTCTTAAAGAAAAACAGGTATTTCTAGTCTACACAACATTTGTGAGTCAGTTTTCCAGCCACTTGTGCAGCTACACAGAGCACATCCCAATTGATCTAAAATTAACAAACATTTGAAAAGGCCAGGCTCTCCTGCCTCTGTTTGACCATCTGTAGTACCCAGCCTGTGTCTCCCTACTCTACTTTTCAAATATTGACATAGCCACATCACTGATCTATTTGAAGGACTTAGGCCCTGTGACCTCAACACTATTACCTTCTGTTTTAATTGACATTTAAACTTTACCTGTTATATAAATTCTTATGCTTTAAAATGTTCATTTATTCAGCCTGCATGGTATCTATTCAGTATTTATAGCTACTAGTCAGTATAACTAGTTCAAAAATAAATACTAAAACTTTTCTTTTAAAAAAAGCTTTTTTTGAAGTACAAAGGTCCAAATATAAAGCATAACAAATAACATACTGTAATAAAAGGTTGTAAAAACCAGGCAAAAAAGAACTGTTGGATCTTTAAAACCCTGAGAATCACAACTTGCTGTGTTATATTAACTATGGATATTTAGGATATATTTAAAACAACAATATTTAAAATGATTTTTTAAAAAGCTGTGTTATAACTATGGATATTTAGGATCTATCAAGACAAGAATATTTAAAAGGGTGGGTTTTTTTTCAGCACGTTGATAAACTTTAGATGTCTTGTAAAAAATGTTTTACTAAACATTTCTAAATCACCTGAACTATTTAAAAAAGTGAATGTGGATGAAAACTGGATATACAGTCTACTGACAGCTATATATATTTGTAGAAACATAATATTAACATAGCTAAGCTATTTAAATTTGTACAGAATTTCAGATGCATAGTTACCTGAACATATTGAAAGCCTATTTACATGTATTCAACATTGCAGTTAAATAAATAGTTGTACCCTACATTTCACAAATGTTTTATTTATCTGGGACTATTATTACCAAGACCACAGGCACCCATCAGTATTATCTTTTAATTATTTATATTGTTGTATCAACTGTGAAAATCTTACTTTATATAGTTGACCTCTTCATTAAAAATGCATGGTGTATAATGATTACCAGAGTATCATATTTTTTTTTAAAAAGTGTAGACCCTATCTTTTTTTTTTTTAAAAAAGTCCAATCTACACACTGTATGTGACACCAGTAAAAATAATTAACTTATCTCTTAGGAATTAAAGAAACACAGCTTATAGTTGGAATTAAGTTAATATAATTTTTTTGTTTTCAAAAGATAGGAAAGTACTGCATGAAATCATCAAAAGATAGGAAAGTACTGCATGAAATCGGAAGCTAAAACTGCATATTCATATAGAGGGTATCACAGATAACTTAACTGCAACCCAAATCCTAACCCATTTTCAGAATCTCAGCCTGAAGCATAAGAATTAAAGATCTTATTTATGGTTCCCAGCCATATGTATATGGCTAATATCATCTCTTCCAGTCTGTGCCCAAGACGCATAAGGCAGATAAAGCAGATTTCAATTGTTTCAATGAAGTGGTTAATAATAGGATAATGTGGTCAGCACTATGCCAAACCACCTTCCTTTCCCTAACTAGAGTCAGTTCCCCTTCACGCTGGGTGGACACAGGGATGTCCTAGAGTCACCAATCAGGTTAGCAGTCAAACGCTCTACCTTTCTACCACACCATACTACGGCTAATATATCAGAGCCAAAAGATAAATAATCTTTGCTCACCAGATTCTTCCAGCAAATATTCCACCTCGTATGTTTGATCTCCTGTTTTTCTCAACTTGTGCTGAACATGTTTTCCTGAGGGGGCTACAAAATTTGACAGAAGATTAACAATATAACCACTATATACAACTTGTAGGCCAACTGTAATCATGCTAAATAAAAGCATGAAACATCAAAATTATCAGAATTTCTTACAAATATATTAGATAGGCCAATGCTTCTAGATTATTACTGCATTTTTTTTTATGTTCTCAGGAACTGATTGTCAACTATGTCATTTCAAAAAAAAAAAGGACAAAAGTCTGTTCTGAGCAGAAATTTGAAAACATTAGGTGTTATAATTGGGTAAAAAAGACAGAGCATTTCTCATAAACAGGCAGTTTTATTAGTTTCTCATGTATGAATAAGTTTCATTTTATAACTGCCATAATTAATGTTTCATCTGATAAGGATTTTAAATTTTTACACAAGGTAAAAGTAAAATTCCCCTTTCCAAAACTGACGGTCTATGAGGCAATTAAAATAGAGTTCACCTGTTTCTGTGACCTCAGCATATGAAGCGATAGTGTGGTCAGCACTATGCTGAGCTGCCTTTACTTTCCCTAACATGAGTTAAGTACCCATCAGAGATGGGTGGACTCAGGGACAGTCTACTGACTTGAACCTGTATTTGAACATGAGACTTACACAAGGAGTTGTCCATAAATAATGTCAGGCTCTTTCGATGATTTTTACTCCCCCCCCATCACAAATAGTTATAAGTCCTAATACCCCCTCACCCTCCCAAGGTTCTCTTCTACGGCAAGAATTATCCTGACATACTGATTTTGTCTTTACTGAACTTAATCACTGTTCTTTCTGCTGAATAAACTTCATTGACACCAATAAAATCTCTATTATTTTTCAACTCTTTAATAAAGAAAGGTGAATTCAGTTTGTATAAATGAGCAAATTTGTGTAAATGGTGATGGTTATTAAGAGCCTGTATTACTTTATTAGAATGCATAACATAGCAATGCAATTAGATGTTAAATCAGCAAATTATTTCCGTTAGAAATTCATAGCAGTAGTGTCAGGTATAACAAACTGAATCAGCTATAAGTTAAAGCTGATACAGAACAAGCTGATTGTGTTATTTCTTCTTTGCTGGATTTAACTTTGTAACTAGTTGTTTTTAAGCTTTAACTAAAACATTTGTTGACTGGGTAAATTTCAGTGAGCAGACAGGTATCCTGAGAGTTTTATTAGAAGGTAATATTTTTGCTCAATTTGATTCATAAATTTGAAAAAAAGAATACAAAATAAAGGTATCTTGTATTAAAACATACCATATTATGCTTTGATAAATAAAGTAAGGGTATTCATGCAAATAAATGAAACAAAAAATATGTGAAAACCCTCATCGTTAAAAACCCTTGTCCAAAAAAATTGAACCCTTCAAACCCTGATACATAAAAAAATGAAAAGTAAAGGGCCTAGATTCAGTGACTGCTTCTGAATTATAGTTTTTGAAAGATTGTAGGAAACAAGGTTCAAAACTCTGAAACAAAATAATTTGTCAGAAAATTGTTTAAGGTCTGAAATAAAAATAATTTATTAAAACAGTAAAATAATTAAAAAAAATTTAAAACCTCAAAATTTTCTTACTTAAAAAAAAATTAACTAAGAAATTAGTAAAAAAAAATAAAAAGTGTATACTAAATGTTACTACTTAAAACAATTTTGTTCAACAAATTACTTTTAATAAATAAAGTTCAAAATGTTAGAGTAATTTAAATAAAAATAGTTTTTGAAAATAAAAAGGTATGAAATATTAAAGATTATGCTTTTACACTAGATTGTAAAATGTAGGTAATTGATAAACTTAAAGCACATTAAAATATTAAATATAATAATTCAATGTATTTTAAATTATTAAACACTCTTTCCCCAATACTCAAAATGTATATGAACTGTGGTTCAGATATTCTTTTATGATAGATGCTGGTCTTTAAATACAGTTTGAACAGTTTAATAACCTAACAAAATAACTAAAAATATTTAGCTTTTAGGTTAAAAATAAATGTGAAAAAATATGAAAATGAACTTACCTTAATGAAATAAAGTGATCTTTTACTCAAAACATGTAGCTTGAAAATATTCTGGTGTCACAGTGATGTTTAAATAGAAGGATGTGAAGGCTCCAAAACATTTACAACCAATCAAGTGAATATTGATATAACTATTTTTTTTAAACTTCCTAGTTTGCTTCATATACTTTTTACTTTTAAAAAGGTTTTACATGAGGCATATAGGCTATATAGTACATCTACATATGTGAAAATATAAACTTCAAATTCTTTAAAATCTATAACATATTGTTATTTTAACAGAATAAAAAGAAGTAAACTTGCAGTACTATTGTTATGGCTGTTAATAACACTCAGTGGAGTGGTTTCCCATGAACTAATAGAACTCATCAAAATACATGAGATATAGTGTGATGTAATTGTAAACAAACTTGTTTGTAGAGAAAAAATATATACGACTTGAAATATAAATATATTACACTTTGGTAATAATCATTTACATAAGTAATAAGAGAGACAATAAATGCAAACAACAATCAATCTGTATTACAAGTGATGTGATATTTTAAGATATAAATATAAGAGATACAAGCTATATTTTGGTGAAGGTTTTGTTAGTCAAAGATTTAAAACATCTAAAAACTGAGAGTAAAAAGGTAATTCTAATGAAGCTATATGGTATTTCAAATCACCTCTTAACTCTCAGCTAATGCTACATAAAAATGCATAAAAAGCTAACCATGCCACTAGCAAAAATACATTAAATACTAATTTTAATTTTTAAATAAAACAATTAATATTTTTAATCATCAATAGTTAACATTGCATTTTAAAATTAATTCTTTAAAACCTTTAAAAAATCCCAAAACATTTACATATTTTAAAAAAAAATAACTATAGTTCTGGTAGTTGTAAAATTTTAAATAAAGTTTAGTAATTTTACACACATGTTATTCAGGTGTTTAAAGCATTTAATTTATATAAAAATCCCAAAGCAAGTTTAGAATAATTCATTTAGCATGCAGCATATACAAATATACATTAAAACAAGGGAAAAGCAATACAATAACCATTTCAAGCTTTAGTGAATCCTTTATAAAAATACAGTGATTGACAAAAGTTAATAAGATATTTTCAATCCATAAACAAAAATATTTCAGAATACAATCATATATGAACAAAATAAGGAATCAATTTTGATTAATAAGAAATAGAAAGAGAGAAAATGGTCATGAAGAACTGGAACTTTCAGATGTAGAGGCTGAAAAATGATTCTACAAAATGTATCAAGTTTAGAAGAATCGATACAAAACAAAAATGTAAAGTAGAAGACCTTCGCTGCCAACAAGGTGGATAACAATTCCAAAATTTTAAAAAGTAAGCACTTACCAACAATATTAACATCAACCTTGCCTCCACCAGCTCCATTGGTGTGGATTGTAAAGACTGCTGGGGTATTCACTGGTACTAGGTTCAAACCTTCACCTGTTACAGTAACACGACTTGAGTCTATGATATCAACTGTGTAAGGCGATCCTGTAGAAAAATATAAATCTTTTAATTAAACTGTACTTTCTATTTTTTTTTTTAATTAATCCTGTAGAAAAATATACATTTTTTCATTAAACTTTCTATTTTTTTTAACTTGGCCATCAAATAAAGCAACAAATAAAAAATTATTCTTTCATTGTTAATAACGTTTAGAAATTTTAAATTTAAAGATAGAAACTGATAAATCATTTTTTTTTTGGACATTTAATTTAAAATATCATCTAGAATTTATTTTTAATCCAAGTGCTCAATAAGAAATAAATCTAGACTTTACCTCTGACTTCAATATTATTCATATAAGCATGAACAGTGTAGGTGCCTGAGCCTTGGGGAGTGAAATCTACCGTGTACTTTCCATGATCGTCTTTAGTTAGATAGCAAGGTACTTGTGAATGACCATGGATCACCTTACAGGTGACTTCTCCTTCACCTGCTGCTGTTGCATCAGCTAAAAAAAATAATTCATGTTTCGGTGAGTTACTAATATTGATAATTTGAAGAAGAGTTAAAAATTCGACTAAATTTATGGTAGAATATGCTGCAAAATTGCTTGGATAACCCACCAAAACTGTCACTACATTCAGGCAGCATAATGCATAAAATCAAAATATTTTAAGCTTTAATATTTACAGCTGTTGAACATTTTAAAATATTAATAAAAATAAATAAATATTAATTTTTAAAATTTGAATAATTTACTAAATATGTTTCATAATAAAAATGAATAGAGCAAGTTACTTCAGATTGTCTTTCAGGAAATGTAAACAAACTTACCATGAAAAGTTAATTCATGCCCAACTTTTCCTCCACTAAGATCAGTAATTTTCACCAAGGATGGATCAAAGACTTTAACAACATAGGGGCTTCCATTGACATGATCACCATCATAGACCATAGAAACCAACCAGTCACCTTTAAAAAACAATCCACTAATTTAATAAAATGTTTTCCAATTACTTTTTTTTTAATTTTAAAGTAAAAACAATACTATTGTTTAGAAAGATTATGTAACAATTATGAGCTTGTTATAGGAAATAAATGGGACAGAGTGGTCTAGCGGTAGAGTTGGACTGCTAACCCGTAAGTCTCGAGTTCGAATCCGGGTTCAAGTCAGTAGACTGTCCCTGAGACCAACCAATTCTAATGGGTATGTTAGGGAAAGTATAGGCGGCTGGGCATAGTGTTGACCACACTATCCCTTCATATGCAGAGGTAACAGAAACAAGAGAACTCTACGCCACTTGCCCCGTAGACCGTCAGGTTTGAAAGGTAACTTAACTTGAAATAGGAAATATGAGCCATTCTACTGAAAACTGAACTGACCAACTTCATTTGGAGCAAAGTTGGATGTATACACTCCTCCCTTGTACATGACAGGCAAGTTAAGGACTCGGCCACTGGGAGACGTTGCTTCAATCCTGACATCACCTTGGCCAGCAGCAGATGTGTCAACCTACAAGTTTACATAAATTAATTAATCCTCGAATAGATTTCAAGGAGATTTCTTAACTGCCCATCAACAAACCTACATTTACATATGTATTCTTGTAGTTATGGTATAAAGAGGTGGAAAAAATAATTTTTACAAATATTAAATTTTTGCACAAACAGCATTTAATAAGATGGGCAGAGGTGAAAATATTGTAACTGATCAAAAATAAAATTACATATATATGTAAATTATTAAGATGAGAATAGCTAAAGATGGTACAAATGCCTAAAAAATATGGAAAAAAATTTTTTGACAATTTTTCAAATAAAGGGAGGTAATAAATAATATTGCAAATGTTGAAGACAAACAAGTAGGAGTTCTCCATATATGGTGACATGAAAGGTGAAATATGTGAGATTTTACCTTTAGCTCATTGTTGACTCCTACTACAGCTCTCTCCAAATAAACGCTTTTCACTTTTGATCTATCTGCATGCACTTTGAATGGAACAGGGCACCCTGGGATATTATCTCCATTACAGTACACATTGAGCTGAAGAAAAAGTAGCCCTATGTTAAACAATGCTGTTATCAGCTAAATAATATCTAGATGGAAAAATTTGTTTACAATAATGTTGTGTGGCTCTGAATAGGACTTAACAGATTGTAAGTACTAATTGTTTTGTTAGCAATATTGTAAATTAGACCAAAAAAAAGTAAAGCAAAAAAAACAGATGTGAAATAATGATTTGCATTATGATGATATTCAGCAAAGTGTAAACTGCTGATTAAAAATGACAAATACAAGAATGAACCTTGTGCTGTCCTGTTTCTGTTGGTGTGAAGTAACAGTCACATCTATTGCCACTCCATTTTGTTCGTACTGGCACAATTGAATCTGGACCAATAACTTCAGCTCTAATAGAATCATGGGATGTGCCGTCTTCAGCGTGGATGACAAAATGTTTCTGGAAATAATTGTTTTTTCTTCTTTAGAAATAGTGGTAATACATGTTAATAAATAAATAATTAGAAAAATTGGATAATAGCTATTTTTTTTAAAATAATGTCTTTTGTGTGTATGTTTTAAAAAAGGCCGATTCTAGTCGGAATAAGATACGCATGCGATACGCATGCGCAATGGAGAGAAACTACGACTTAGCGGCGATGTTTTCGATGGTACTGCGCATGCGTGTGTTTACAACAGCAGAACCCTAATACCAACCCTAATCCTATCCTTAACCCTATCCCTAATCCTATCCCTAACCCTAACCCTAGCCCTAATCCTATCCCTAACCCTAACCCTATCCCTAATCCTACCCCTAATCCTACCCCTAACCCTCATTCTAGCCCTAACCCTAGGTCACTGCGCATGCGCAGAACTATCTTTTGCCGAAAAATCTTATTCCGAGTAGACACTTCGTTTAAAAAATGTACATCAGTCATGAAATATCAATTTAATTGTTAACAATTTTCTCAATTATTAAATAAAATTTCATCGTAGTAACCTCTTGTTTGACATAAACATCACTGAAGTTACCATCCATGCTTGCCCTATTTTGTGATATTTTAACTGGCTTCAAATGACGAAATTTAGCGGCATAAGCCATAATGCCTAGGTGTTCAACTTCAGGATCAGCCATTTCTTTAGCAGAAAATATAGGCTCAACACCCAGCTTTCGGGCAGCATCAATACCTGAGGTTCAGAAAGAAAAACATAGGAGATCGCACTCATAAAAATGATCCATATTAACAAAAGACACTGATTTACTAGATCAATATCTCATTGCATCATTAGAAGTAAGTAAATTTAAAAAAAAAAAAAATTTTATTGGGAGTTTACTGGATGAGATATAAATTGACTTTAAGACTTAAATTATTATGTAAGTCTTAAACACTTTAAAAACTATAAACTTTAAACTTGACAAGGCATACACTTCACTTAGCCTACTCACATGGTTTTAACCTTTGTACCTCTACTAATGACTAATTCTTACTGAAGTTATGAGTATAATATTTTATATTTATTTTTCTTAAAGCTTATTCTACCTGCAGTTTAGTGTAAATTAAAAAAAAAATATCAATTAAAATGCCCTGCTTTTTTTTGGTTAGGGGAGTCAGGATCTTATTTCATACATTCAAACATTTGGAGCTAATTGAATAATTCTTTTAAAATTTTAAATTGACAGTCGAAGTACTAAAGCCTGGTAGTAGTCATACTCATGATTCTGAATGACTCATAATTTTAAAATTAGTAGGTCTAGCTAGATTCTTGATTTATAATAGGAATTAAAGGGTCATTCATAAGGAGTCATGATTTTTACCTCCCCTTCTCCCGATCCTCGCAAAAAGGAAACAACCCCCCCCCCCCCCCATTTTTAAAAAAAAAATAGCCTTCCATATTCCAATACACCCTAAACCACTGTACTCGATCTAGAATTTGGTAAAATCTTAGTTTAGCGTCGTAAATTCCAACGTAGCTAGTAATGTGCGATGAAGGTAACTAGTGAATATTTCTTTCATTTGGCCATATTTATGTCATATTTTACATAATATAACAGATAATTGAATAACAAATCACAATCCAAGACCAAACCAGTCATAAATATCCTGGAATAAACTTTAAACTACCCCGTTCGAGACAACAATGAGTAAATACAAGCAGCGGCCATGTTTTAAAAACAATAAATTGTCTATTCGCATGTCTTTTGTGTTGATTTTGTGGTTTAATATGATTGTTTTGTATTGTTTTAATATATGCGGGGGGGGGGGGGGTCGTCCATAAATGACGTCACACTCGTAGGGGGAGGGGGGTCCGTAATTTTGTGACGTTGTGTGATGAGGGGGAGGGGTTCAGATGGTGCTACGTCACACTTTTGCATTTTAAAAAAGCAATGTTACAAAACAAATTTTAGACGTAATATTTTGCGTTTTAAAAAAATGTTTTAATACATTGTAATAACAATTGATTAAAATACTCTATTTTGACAGAGTTCAGACAAGATTTTGGAAAAATATAGCTGTTTAAAAAACAATTCAACTGCAATTTTGAGCTGGGGGGGGGGGGGTGTAGGCTGAGGTGTGACGTCATTTTAGGGGGGGGGGTCTGGCTTTTTGTGACGGAGGGGGAAAAAAGCGTGACATCATTTATGGATGACCCCCTGTATAGTAATTTTTCTTTTTATAATATAGTTGACATGAATGACTAATAGACCTTATCAGACTTAATAGTGTGCATCCAAGACCACAACAATTGTTGGGAGGTCGAACTTTTGAACACTTTATTTGCAGTAAGCAAATCAATATTAGATCGCTCATAAATGAAGTCGCTCTTAAGATAGTAATGACAGCGTGCATTATTACAGAGCAAACATATGAACATATTGTTTCAGATAGAAATTGTGATTTGTGGTGGGGAGAGGTTGAGTAGAACTCAGCGATGTGATTTTAGAGACGGGTCAGGTTTTTTTTCTCGTGAAAACGGGATGGTTGTGGGGGAAAGACCAGCTGTAGAAGTATGACGCGTCATTCATTGGTGATCCATTTTCTCAGTGGGGACGAAAGAACTATTAAGAAGGGTCAAGAAATGTAAAAAGCTTGCCGAGTCGCATTTCTTGAACCCTACCTTTTTCATTCCCCCACTTAGCACATCGTCACCGAGTTAACGCTCGCACGTGACGTCATGTAGCGGTACCGCCGACCGTTAGGCTAATTTTATAGAAAAAAAAAACAACAAGCACTGCCTTATTGACGCTTTTGCGACGTTTAATATGATTACATAAGTTGGTGTTCATTAAACAGCCCCTAACACATCTATCACTCGTCCATTTAAACGTACGTAGTTATTTCTGCAAGCTTGCTGTCTTGAGACTTTCGGCCCTTTAAAAATGTATTAAGCTCACACCGTATAGAACTAGACTACCCATATTAAGCTCCAAAAGAAGCTTGGTGAAAACAGGATGGCCGTCCGATTTTGTAGCTGCTCTGTGCTTTATAAAAAGCACAATAAACGATAAGATGACACTTATATTAAAGTAAACGAGCCGACCCGCTATTTAGTTGTTTTTTCTACTTTTCAGTTATTTATAATTTGTGAATTCGACACTACCAACGCTGCCACTGAAAATATTTCTTTAAAACACTATAAGTAGCTCGTTAAGGACGATAACCCCCCCTTCCTCCCCCCCCCCCTCCGTTAAAGTAAACTCCACTTAGTTACCCCCCCCCCCCCCCCTACGTTTAAAATCGTTTCAAACTAAAATATCTGCCCCTAATAGTCGTCACTAAACCCGACTCTGTAAACATTTAGAGTGAACCACAGCTCACCAGACCATGTAGGGGTGGGGGTGGTAGGGAGCGCGTTTACAGCTTGTTTTATAGCGTCTCCCAGAAGAGAATTATATATATAGATTATAGTTCTGAATCTTGATACATTAAAAGTGATATTCGGAAATTATGAGCCAGACAGTCAACATATTTCAATTTAAGTCCAAGAAAATAAATTTCCTCAAACGATGGAACATTACTAAATTTTTGCGCAGTTTAGCGAAATTGAATTTAAGTATTTACGTCATCTTACAAAACGCGATAGCCTACTGGTGCTCTAACGCGGCCCATGCTAATGGCCGTATTCCATCATTTATGGACAGCCCCATATCACTCACTTGGGTACTTGATATTGACAATTTGACAACAAAGGATAACCAAAATGTGTCTGGCAGGTGGAGACTTGCGATCGACCATAATGACAACACGCTCTTAAGGGGTGGAGTGGCTGATTATTTTAAATGTTTTACGAGGGAAGCTGGTGGATAATACATTTTGTCTCTCTGTATATATAAATGATGACAAACATTTATTGTCAAAATTATGGCTAGAGATCTTAGATAAGGCAGAGCGAAGCGTAATTTTTTACATTAGGGGTCATCCATAAATGACGTCACGCTTTTTTGACGATTTTTACCTTTCCCCCCCCCCCCCCCTCCCCTCCGTCACACGTCGTCACAAAAAGCCAGACCCCCCCCCTAAAATGACGTCACACCTCAACCTACAACACCCCTCAAAATTGCAGTTGAATTTTTTTAAACATCAATATTTTTCCAAAATCTTGTCTAAACTATTACAATTTATTAAAACAGTTATCTAAAACGCGAAATAACGTCTAAAATTCGTTTTCTAACATTGCTTTTTTATAATGCAAAAATGTGACGTCGCAACATCTGAACCCCCCCCCCCCCTCCCCCTCATCACACATCGTCACAAAATTACGGACCCCCCTCCCCCCTACGAGTGTGACGTCATTTATAGATGCCCCCTTATGACTTGTTGTGACATTGACAACAAAAATATGACGGAGGTTGGGGTTTAATTAAGGTAAAGAGAAGTAAAAAGAATGTCATAAGTTACGATAGAATCACTAATTGATGAAAAGAAAAACCTGAAATGAAAATAGTGAACATTCAAACAATAAGAAAAAACTCAAACTAAAGTAATAGTAATAGTAAGATCAAATAAACATTAGAAAAAAAAAAACGTGATTTAAAACATGGATACAAGTTGCATCTCACAATGCTTCTAGAATTAATAAAGTTGTTTCTTAGGACATTCAATTTTTAAAGAGCAGAATTAAAAAAAAAAAAATGCTTTGTTAAACGGACTATACAACAAGACAATCATATTTAAATACATTTTCATACGAATAGAAATGAAAGGGAAGCTACTCTAAATAACATTTTCTTAAGATGGCTGCTGTTTTTAATAGCAAATTTACTATCTCGAACAGGGTTGATAAAAATTAATTTCAGGATATTTAAATTGATTTAACCATAAATGGTGATCTATTATTCAATTATTTATAATATTTTATCAAAATATACGAATATATACTCATATTTAATGACATATTCATTATTGCACTCTCTCCTACATTACTAGTTTTGGCCGAATTTACGACGCTAAACTAAGATTTTAAAACGGTAATCTATCGTTTTGGGTACGTAAAATCGCCCGCGATTTGTAATGTGAAAAACAGGTGACTCCTTAAATTTTAATAATTATTTAACATTTTGAGGAGGATTTATGTTTTAAAAAATTCAAAAATGTTTCCTTGATTCATTTATGTACCTGTTTTTAAACAATTGAATTAAAACTTTTCCGTAATAAATGAAGACTAGCGATGTTTCCAACAGATGCAACCATGCTCATTTACTATAGCAGCCATCTTGTCTAAGTTTTATTTTTATAAGCTTTTAGCGCCAGATTCAGGGGGAAATCACTCTATTTTACAAATGGCTGCTGTTTATATAGCAAATCTTGCTCTCAGACACTGCTGTTTAAAGTTAATTTCTGGCCTATATCGATATATTTAGCCATTGATTTAGGTTTATTATTCATTTATCTATAATATTTGACACAAAAGTATGACAATATACTTCTATTAAAGCCTTGACAATGAGGTAACGTTTTCGTACATAAATAGCCGCGGGCGATTTTACGTACCCAAAACGATAGATTACCTAAGATTTTACCTAGAATTTAGATCTAGAATCTATGTCATTGCGTTGAGAAGGCTAAGCCCAGCTAAAGGATTGAGATTAACTGATAATTCAGTGATTAGGAATAGTCTGCTAGGAAGCGGGTAAGTACTATAATATTTTGCAGGCCAAACTAAATATTGTACTTAATTTTTTGCTTTATTATTCTTGCTATATGCCATTATATGTTGATGAAATTGCTCTTTAGTTTTTTAATCGATCCAAATTTATCGACACACTTTTAGCAAGCCTACCTGTCTGTAAATTGGTTACATGATCGCTGGTTAGATGAGGCCACCCTGGCACATCACCACCAACCGATTTTACCAAATCACATAGAAGATGTCCACTATTCCAGTCCGTCTAAAAATAGAAAACGTTCGCAATTTTATTTTATTAATTAACGTGTGTTAGATTTAAAGATTTAACATAGGGATATTGATTTATTTCAACAAAATATTATTGTATATTGTAAAATGCACCTGAAAGTTATCGATATTTCTGTTTTGCAGCAAGTTGTTGGTTTCTCTACGGGTAGCAAAGTAGCCGGGAGAATCAACTTTCATGTAATATGAGAGGTAGGTCATGCCAGATAGATCGTCAAGATGAGGAGATGAGAAATCTTCTGGTCGCACCACGATAGGGATGTTGAGCTCGGATTTGGCTATCTGCATGGCTTCCGTACAGTTACCCAGCCTGCAAATTAACATTTTATAGATGCAATCTTTAAAAATATATAATCAAGCCGAGTAGCAGTATTAGGGTGGTTTTAATTTTGGCGTCCATAATTTTCATCACTCTTTTGTTCAGTTTTACACCGTTCCAGATCTTGAGGCGTCGCACAAAATACAAGACCCATCATAAAATGACGTCATAAAGTACACCCCACATCCCACCCATCTACACACAAAACCCCATAAATCGATATTAATTATTAAACCATCAGTTTTTTTGTTGTTATAGTTAAGTTATAAGAAAATAGTCTACTATAGAATGTGTATGTCACAATTTCTTTACCCACGCCCTCTCCATCGAAGCATAACGTCATATAACCCCCCCCTCCCCCCATGCAGAGGGTGTGTGTCGTAATGTATGTACAATCCCTTTTCTATTCAAAATCCACGCCCAGGAGCCCATCTTTTAGATGGAACGCTGAAAAGTAAATAAAAATTAGAACAAGGCTTTTTATATAGGCCTATAATGTAGTTCACTTGCAGGTTTAATAAAAAAATATATATTGTAAATTTTATATGAATGTATTGTAAAATTTAATATAAACTAAAAAGAACACACTGTCTTACATGACTTTTTTATTGCTTATGAAAACGTCATAAATCTTGAGCTTAAGAGTTAAGACGTTTTAGAATCGTTGCCACGCCCTACGTGTAAGTCTATTCAAAGTGTGACGTCAGTTCGAGTTAATCGCCCCCACCCCTACTGCGATTACCCTCAAGACTACGTCACACAAATAAAAGATGAATATCAATCTTTTAAGCTAAACCAGTTTCAAACCCTATTCAACTTTACTTTATATAACCACAATTTTTAGGCCTACATTAGGGCGAAGGGAGACGGGGAGGGGACGGGGATGAGACGCCTGTGATTCAGGTGATAGGCAGACCAGGAAGAGAAACCCCAATTAGTGTTAGCCAAGTGTCAGACAGCAGACTGTCCGGCAGCACGCAAACACCACCAGACAACTGAGCTAATCAAGCGACGGGGCAGTGCCCACACAAATAGGTGACCGGAAACAACAGACCGATAACTTGTTACTAGCGACAGACAACCCCAACACAAACGGCCGCCGGAAATAACAATACAATAATTTGCAACAGGCGACAGAAGACAAGTTCCCACGCAGGTTGCCGGAAATAAAATAGTGGTTTAACTGGCTTCACTAGCTATTTGTTTACCATGCATTTAAAATAGCGATATAGGCCTATATGTAGAAAATTACTTCATTATGTTTGAAAATTAATAAGGAGGTCTTTCATGAACCATATCGAACATCGGGGGTGGGGGGGGGGGGTCTGATTTTTGTGACGATGCGGTAATTTGAGACGGTGAATGGGGGGGGGGGTGTTAAGTAGTATAGACTTTGTATACCTTAAAGTCAATTTTAAATATATGTTTTTTATTACCATGACGTTTATTTTAGGATAGGGTGGACTTCATGACGCCATGTAAATTGGTCTCTTGTGTATTTCGTGAGGGTGGGAGGGGCGGCTGGGGAGAATGCCTAAATTTTGACGTCATTTATGGACCATCCTTAACTCAGGCGAGAGTATAAATGAAAACAACAACAAAAAACATATGGACATTTCTATATGATCTGTGAAGTCGGGAACGTGAAGGTGTTGTTGTTGTTGTTAACCCACAACTTCCATTAACACGGTCGGCTAAAGATGTGACAGTGTTCTAGAGACCAGAGTTTCTTTCAGGCATCTCTACGAAGCACGCCCGCCTTCGCACCCCCACACGAAAAAATAATTTATATAAAAATATATTCTTTTACCGGTGTCCGCCCCCGGGGAAAAATTGCCTGAAAGAAACATTGCATGAGACCCACGACCTCAATTCCCCCCCCCCCCCCCCCGTTGTATCTCTCTTCTGTATAAACAGCAAGCGTGTCCCCGACACGAACCAGATAATACAGCCTACTATTCTTAGAAATCCGAACCAAAGAGAATCTTATTTGAACATCGTTGATACCTTGATGATAAGTTTTATTTTTAGATCGTGTAAAACTTCAGCGGGAAAAAAGAAAAACGTTTAGGGATCGTCAGGCAATGCAGTTCGTCGGTTTGAAAAATTTGCATTTTTTACATCTTGGTTACTTTATCAACCCACATATCCAGCCCCCCCCCCCCCCCCCCCCTTATAAAAATCCATCCGTGTGGTTAAAATAAAAATATGTAATGATATTCAATTTTATAGCAAGGGGGGGGGGGGTCCTGGTGTGTCTAAATGTAGCTGTCTCCCCACATCTACACAGTGCACACTTCTAGGCATCTGCTGCACACTAAGCATGTAAACCATGCACCTTAACGCCCACACGTACGACCCCAGTCACGACAAAAAAAAAAAAAAAAAGAAGTGTGCACTCTTTTGTACCCTCACTGAACGGCAAGGCAGAAATCTTCACCAAACTCTTCTTTGTTAAACATTACCTACACCCCTCCCCTTCCCATCTTACTTTAAACGTAACTGGTATATTAGGCTATTATACGCAAAAAAAAGATGCACAGTGTTATATTGTTGTTTTAAGCATAAGAAAACGCAATCTAATATGTCAATATGAATCTAAACACATAACTGAAATGTTATAATGGCAACATTTTTGTACCCATAGTGAAACCCCAAAATCCCGCGCCGCCTTTACTTTTAAGGGAGGGGGGGGGGGGGGAAGAAGCAACAATTTGCGTGTATTTTTCTTGAGCTAAGCAAACATTCTGACCGGCTATGTAAATGTTCTGCCTGACGAGGGTCCCTAATGAACACCACGTGAATCGGCCTGACGGGCCGGGGTCACAATAGGTTGAGAATCTGAAGGGTAACCATTCACAATGCGGATACATCCTAGCTCGGCGCTTTGAGTGTGGCAACTTTAGCCATTGCATAGGCATATCCCTTTTTGTTAACTGGCAGCGGCGGATTTAAATACACTGTTGCCTCACCCCCCCCCCCCCTAATATCAAATTATTCCTGCCAAAGTCACGATGATTTTTTTTCTTACAGGTGATATATATTTTTTACGACTGCTTTTTAATTAACTCGCCTAATTGAATGACCTCGGCGGGTCCCTATTGTTTAGATGGGACTTCTTGAAAAGGAATAGTTTATCATGTGCCATATTTTCGACGCCATATTTTTACACAATGTTATCTTTATTTTACAAGAAAGGAAGAGAATTAGGCCTATATTGAGTCTCTTACAATCTATAAATAGCCCAGCGATATGATAGTCGATAGTGCACAGGGAAGCCACGAAAACGACCATAGGATCACCATAGGATCACCTTTAGCTTTGTTAATTGCCCCCCACACCAACTTGAATTTTGAATTTAAACTCATACATCCCTACTATATCTAACTACACATATTGGCTGGTGGTGTAGAAATATATTTATAGGCCATATATATATATATATATATATACATATATATATATATATATATATATATATATATATATATATATATATATATATAGCCAGTTTTTTTAACAGAAACACAAGTTTAAACGGTTAGGTCAAACTATTATTATATGAACACGCGCATGCGCACTGCCAGGCCCGTGAGAACAATAATGGCCATGTAAACAACACAACGTGCAGGTGACACGAAGCTGAGATGACAAAACAATTACGTCAGTAACCAGAGCGAGGCTGTGACCATACACCTCAATCATCACGGAAATATCTTACCTGTCATGTCTAGGTAATTGTCTCCAGTTGGGCGACAGGCCAGGCTTGCAGTAATCAATAAGGGCGCTGTGGACGAGAAGAAAATAAATATGACTTGTGTTGTGTAGATAGCTGTAGGACGAGTTAAAATATTAAACAAAAAAACACGAGAACAAAATAAATACGACTAGTGTTGAGCAGATAGCTGTAGGACGAGTTAAAATATTAAACACTCCCCCTCAAACTTTCGATTTCCACCCCACACCCCCCCCTCAAACTTTCGATTTGCACCCCCCTCCCTCATACTTTTTATATATATACCGAGGGGGTCTATGACCCCCCCCCCCCCAACCTAACCCCCCCCCCCCCCCCCTGCCTACGCCACTGGCTGTAGAACGAGTTAAAATATTAAACAAAAAACACGAAAAGAAAATAAGACAAAGTTATACTCAGTGCTCGGGTGATATTTTCAGGTTTTTACCAACCAAAGATGTTAAAAATTTAAGAACGAGCCTGAATTCCAGTTTTGTCACTCTCGGTAGCCTAACGATTTTTTTTTCCAAGTTGAAAACGTAAACAGGTGAAAGTGTCGCGCAGTACAAAGGCATCTGTTTACACAAACAATATCACGTGACTCTGAGACAAATCCCAAAAAAAAAAATCGTCTGGACCAAAAAATATTCGCAGGTTACCAAATGTTTTGCTATGTAAATATTTTCGTTGTATTTTGTATGATTTCACAAGCCCGTTGCTAAAAAAAAACGTGGGTTTTTTTTTTTTTACTAGTAGCCGTTTAGCCTTTGACCTATTGGCAAGGTAAACGCCAGTCTTAAGTCTTTTACTCTATGTTCAACATTCCTGGGTTTTACCCATCATTCAGAGTAGAACGTTTACACCAACTAGAGCTACATAACAACACAGAGCAAAACACTTTATTTTAACGTACGTATAAATATAATCAAAACGTCCATGAGCCCATCAAACTCTGATTTGTATCTGACTCACGTTTGGAACAATAAAGGCGGCTGGGTATAATGCTGACCACACTATCCCTTCATATGTCGAGGTCACTGAAACAGATGAACTCTACTTCATCTGCCCCCCCCCCCCCCTGTGTCTTGGGGACGTACGGGAAAAGATGAAGATGACGATAACAATTACAATGTTTCTCGCCTCTATATTCTATTTTTAAACTCGTACCAAATCTGTGACAACAGACATATCGGTGTAGAGGTGTATTGTAAGTTGGGCTCTGTTATTATTGATTGCTCGTCCTTGTGGTAGAAACTCGGTAATGAATTATTGACTAACGATGGAATTTTTAGACTGCTGTGGGTGCTAACAGATCGATGCAACAACCAATGCGATTTCACGCTAGACCACGGTTCACCAGTGGTCCGTGTCCATCACTCAACAAGTGGGTCATGTCAATCACTCAACAAGTGGGTCATGTCCATCATTCAATAAGTGGGTCATGTCAATTACTCAAAAAGTGGGTCATGTCCATCACTCAACAAGTTGGTGATCTCAATCACTCAACAAGTGGGTCATGTCCATCATTCAACAAGTGGGTCATGTAAATCACTCAACAAGTGGGTCATGTCAATAACTCAACAAGTGGGTCATGTCAATAACTCAACGAGTGGGTCATGTCAATAACTCAACGAGTGGGTCATGTCAAGCACTCAAGTGGGTCATGTCCATCACTCAACAAGTGGGTCATGTAAATCACTCAATTCAAACAAGTGGGTCACTTTAGTACATAGACAAGTGGGTCATACACGTAACATCATACACAAGTAAATCACTCAACAAGTGGGTCATGTCAATCACTCAACAAGTGGGTCATGTCAATCACTCAACAAGTGGGTCATGTCCATTACTCAACAAGTGGGTCATGTCCATTACTCAACAAGTGGGTCATGTCCATTACTCAACAAGTGGGTCATGTCCATCACTCAACAAGTGGGTCATGTCCATCACTCAACAAGTGGGTCATGTCAATCACTCAACAAGTGGGTCAAGTCATTCACTCAACAAGTGGGTCAGCTCTATCACTCAAAAAGTGGGACATGTCCATCACTAAACAAGCGAGTCATGTCCATCACACAACAAGCGAGTCATGTCCATCACACAACAAGCGAGTCATGTCCATCACACAACAAGCGAGTCATGTCCATCACACAACAAGCGAGTCATGTCCATCACTCAACAAGTGGGTCATGTCCATCACTCAACAAGTGGGCCAGGTCTATCACACAACAAGTGGGACAGGTCAATCACTCAACAAGTGGGTCATGTCAATCACTCAACAAGTAGGTCATGTAAATCACTCAACAAGTGGGTCATGTCCATCACTCAAGTGGGTCATGTCCATCACTCAAGTGGGTCATGTCCATCACTCAAGTGGGTCATGTCAATCACTCAACAAGTGGGTCATGTCCATCACTCAACAAGTGGGTCATATCAATCACTCAACAAGTGGGTCATATGAATCACTCAACAAGAGAGTCATGTCCATCATTCAACAAGTGGGTCACGTCATTCACTCAATAAGTGGGTCATGTCAATCACTCAATAAGTGGGTCACGTCATTCACTCAACAAGTGGTTCATATGTATCATTCAACAAGTAAATCACTCAATAAGTGGGTCACTTAAGTACATAGACAAGTGGGTCATACACGTAACATCATACACAAGTAAATCACTCAACCAGTGGTCCAACTATCACTCAACAAGTGGGTCATGTATATCACTCAACAAGTGGGTCATGGACCATGTCGATCACTCAACAATTGGACCAAGTAGATCACTCAACAAATGGACCAAGTAGATCACTCAACAAATGGACCAAGTCGATCCCTCAACAAATGGACCATGCCCAACACTCAACAAGCAGTCCAAATACAACACAAATCGACAGTACTATACAAATAATCGAACACACTCAGGTTCAAAGGACTGATGAATAGCTAGTCAAAAGATTTTCTTAACACACAAAACCAATCAGTGTATCGATTATTTTTTATTCTGAATTTATCAACCAAATAAATCAATGATTACACACGATTTTCCTTCATTGTGATTTCATGCCTGAATATTGCTTTAAGTACTTTTCACTCAAGGTTTTTTCAGTTTAACTTGCTATGTTTTTAATTAACAAGCCAGCTTCGGCTTAGATCTATATAATTACTAGCGCACCCGTCGCGAGTTGCTGCGGTCTAAGTAAAAAGGAATAAAATAAAATACGCGTGTTTAACTACAAAATAATGGATCCGTGGAGCATTAAGTAAATTACTAACATTGGCGCTATACTCAATTTCTGTGTGATGAAGCATTTAATTGTCAACAGAAGCTATTAGTTCGTGGTAATAGTTATTCCTAGATACCAATTTATATTTTTATATTGATTAGTACTCATTATTCAAATGTAAACAATGTCGAAAAAAAAAACGTCTAGTATCTCAGCTGTTGGGGCGTGAGTTTGTCCACACTACCACCAAAATGCTTGTGTTTAGGAAGCATTAATATACACTACGTCGAATGTGTTTGCCGTAATTCTAAGCTGTTATAAAAGTAATAAAACGATGTTTCAGTTTGAAAACAAGTGTACGTATATCACTCTCCGCGTGATTGAGGTAGCACACTCCTCTCTCAGGTGTTGAGGGGCGCTGTGGGAGTCACTAGTCCCACCAGAGGACGCCCCTCGTATTGGGCGTCACATTTCTGTTTCCCGTGTAACATGGACAAGAAAAACAAAGAGAAGAACCTTACTGTAAAGCCATGAAACACAGACAAAGGAAACAAACAACAATAACAAACTTACTGTAAAGCGACTCCATCGTTCCAGTCTGAGGTGAAGTTTGAAATCTGGCACTCCGGCAACACAGCCTGCAGCCATTCCAGCATCAGCTTTTTCGGCGGGAACTTCGTTTTTCCAATCTGGTAGCGTAGGATCAGGTGCCAAATAAGGCCGAGAATAAGTTTGAGACTTCCGTTTACGATATCTTCACTTCCTGTTAGAATTCAAAGGATGATATTTTAAATGGAAAATAATAAAAGTAAGCTATATTATAGTATAATGTCATTCTTGTGATATATATATATTTATTTTATTTATATATACATATACATATATATATATATATATACATATACATATATATATATATACATATACATATACATACATATACATATACATATACATACATATACATATACATACATATACATATATACATATACATATACATATACATATACATATACATATACATATACATATACATATACATATACATATACATATACATATACATATACATATACATATACATATACATATACATATACATATCATATACATATATACATATACATATACATATACATATACATATACATATACATATACATATACATATACATATACATATACATATACATATACATATACATATACATATACATATACATATACATATACATATACATATACATATACATATACATATACATATACATATACATATACATATACATATACATATACATATACATATACATATACATATACATATACATATACATATACATATACATATACATATACATATACATATACATATACATATACATATACATATACATATACATATACATATACATATACATGTATATATATATATACATATACATATATATATACATATACATACATATACATATATATACATATACATATATATACATATACATATATATATACATATACATATATATATATACATATACATATATATATATACATATACATATATATATATACATATACATATATATACATATACATATATACACATATACATATATATACATATACATATACATATATACATATACATATATATACATATACATATATATACATATACATATATATACATATACATATACATATATACATATACATATATACATATACATATATATACATATACATATATATACATATACATATATATACATATACATATATATACATATACATATATATACATATACATATATATACATATACATATATATACATATACATATACATATATATACATATACATATATATACATATATATATATATACATATATATATATATATATATATACATATATATATATATATATATATATATATATATATATATATATATATATATATATATATATATATATATATATATATTGCCAGGGACATGGTATGCTGTCAGGTTAAAAAAAAGGGTTATGTATTATTACGATACTCCATAATTTTGTAAGGGAGGGGAGGGATATCATGTGATGGATTAGACCCCCCTCCTCATTGCCTACGCCACTGTACACACATACACACACAGACAGAGAGCTACCTGGACATAGCATGCAAGTCACGAAGGTATGACGGTAAAGCTGTCTGAATATTATTACAGTCCAGCATAAAGTGGACACCTCGTTGTAGATGAAATGTGATGTGTTTTTTTTTTGGTGTGTTAATTATTAGAGGCAAACTTCATATATGTATCGTATTTGGGTTTAGGTGGGAATACATTTTGGTTTGAATGATGAATGTCTAATATTTTTGTTGTACTTGTATTTTTTTTTCTGTACATTGTTTTTTTTTCCACAAGTTAAGAGACACAACCCGACTAATATGTGCTTAGTTGACACTGGAAACGCGGTAAAATGTATTAAATCTTTAACCATATAAATAGAATAAAATCACAAACTGTATATCATGAAAGTTTAAAACCGTAAATAAGCTGATTAAGCAGTTTCTCTCTATAGCTTATACTATTGTAATTTTTTTTTAAACTGGGCGAGTGACAAAAGAAAATTTTATGACACATCATTGAATATTCACTAGAGCAGGTAGATGTCTAACAACAGCGGTCCCTCAACTGTTTTCCATGACCCGGTTTGGGGGTCATCCATTTATGACATCCGCGCGGGGGGGGGGGGGGGGTGAAAAAAATCAACGTGGACTGGGGGGGGGGGTTCTGGTCAATGTGGAGGTCCACATCTTGAAATAAACAACAAAATACTTACATTTGAAAATAATTTTTGAAAATATAAAAACGGCACATAAAATGTAGGTAATATACATTAAGTCGGCAGTTCTTGTGTTAAATGTATCAGATATGTAGCTCTATACCGCACAACTAAGAATAAAAGCAATTTTTGTTTTACAAACGGAAGGTGGGAGGGTCGAAAGTGGACGCGTGTGGGCGGGGGGGGGGGAGGGGGGTCGAAAATTCCTAATTTTTGTGGACGTCGTAAATGGGTGACCCCTAATATGTTAACAAACCTACACCTTCTTGACGACCCACCAGAATAGTCAGCGTTTACAGATTGATCTGCCAAACTGTCTTATAAAACAGTCGTGATTTGTTTAAATATTAACATTAAACTCTCAGGAAAACCATACTAACAGTTGTATTACTGCAGCCCACGTTTTTTTTTCTTCATATATCTGATGTGTTATTGTTACAAAACTTTATGTTCAAAGCCCATATTTCTTTATACGATTTACAAGACAGGTCTATTTTTAGATTAAGTCAATCTCAGCTTTAGTACATGACTGCACATCAATCAAGGGCCAACCACTCTTAGAAATCGTATCAAAAGACTGCTATTATTCACGTTTTTGGTCTAGACTCGATAGAGTTCTACTTGAGGAATTCATTCAATAGAACCGATTCATCGTCAACAATGCGATTTTAATTTAAGTTTTTAGAAAGGAAAGAAGAGAACCAACAAAAGGTGTAGGCTTAAAACATGCGTGTATGGGAGGGGCTGGTTGTAATGCACCATCAATAGCTGTATATCTTTACACGGTCTAGAGTTGCACAGTTTGGAAACCACTGTTTTTTAAAGAAACAAAATAGTGTTTGGGTAATGTTTAAAGATAACGCAGTTTTATAGTTATTGTGTGGTCCTGCAGTGTGTAGTTGGGAAAGAAATTTGTTTTGTTGACAAGTTGGGGGTGGGGTTTGGGGGGAGGGGGGTGATGGAGTGGGAAGTAGGTGTGGGCTTGAGGGGCTGGGGTTGAGTTTTGAGGCAAGGTCTTTGACAGAGGGGGCTGCTTTCACGGGGGGGGGGGGAGGGTGTAGGGTCGGGGTTAGGGGAAGGGGGGGGTAGTGTTTTTAAAGCAAATATTTTCAGTGTCAGCATTGGTACTGTCGAATTCACAAATTATGAATTACTGAAAAGTAGAAAATAAAACTACTAAATAGCGGCGTATGATACGCTCAGTAGCGTAGCGAGGGGGGGGGGGGGCGGGGGAGGGACATATGTCCCCGGGCGCCGACCTTAGGGGGCGCCAAAATGGGTTGGAAAAATAAATTGAAAGGTTGAGCGGGGTGGAAATCGAAATTCTGAGGGGGGGGGGGGTGCAAATCGAAATCTCGAGGGGGGGTGCAAATCGAAATCTCGAGGGGGGGTGCAAATCGAAAAGTTTGTCCCCGGGCGCCGGGAAGGGTCGCTACGCCTCTGGTTAAGATAGATGCTGGAGATTGGGGGTGGGGTCTAAAGGGTTCAGACAAAGGGTGGAGCTTAGGGTCCGCAGTTTGTATCAAAAAGGTTGGAGATTTAAGGGTACATCACGCGGAAGGTGACGGTGGGGAGTGGAGGGTAAAAGTAAAGTTCCCTTCCAAACCTGACGGTGTATGGGGCGAGTGAAGCTGAGTTCACCTGTTTCTGTGACCTCGACATATGAAGAGATAGTGTCGTCAGCACTATGCCCAACCGCCTTTACTCTCCCTAACGTGAGTTAGGTGCCCATCAGAGTTGGGTGGACTCAGGGACGGTTTACAGACTTGAACCCGGATTCGAACTCAATACTTACGGGTTTAGCAGTCTAGCTCTCTACCGCTAGACCACTCCGTGGAGAGTGGGGTCTAATATATTCATAACTGATTGTGATTAGTGATAGGTTTTGGCTGCGGTTTTCAAACGTTATCTTTCTGCATCACGTTTTTTAAAGCAGCCGCATCTCACTCACAATAAATAGGAGACCACGATGCTTAGTGTTGAAGCAAACAATACAGCATTTCAATAGTTCGGGGGTATACGGGGGGGGGTGTGCTTGCTTGAGTTCTTTGCTACATATAGTTATGCTTATGATCTTATGCTTATAATCTTACAAAAGTAAAATAATTTATTCCATGTTCATTTTCACAGTAGCATTACCATTGACTGATTATGAATTTAAAAAACAGACAAACAAACATATTCACAAAACCAGGAAAATTTAAACAGCAAATAAAATTTTGTTACTTTGCTATCTAATGAACACATTTATTAGAAAAAAAATTATCTAAACTAGTGAACAATAGACTTTCTCAATCAACAAATTGTCTAGAATGCTACTAGCAAGTATGACAAAAGCTATACAAAGGTGCAGAATAAGAATGACCAGAGAGACAGAGTATAAGTAAATCCTCTGAATTAATGTCATAAAGAGTGAGGTCAACTTAACATTAGTGTGATCTTAAGTGAGGTAAACTTGAGTGAGGTTTTAACAAGCCTTTTATAAGTGGGCTTTTTTCAGTGGTAAAAAGTCAAGAAACATGGAGATAAAATGAGCATAAAAATCATACACTGGTCCACTGTAATTCTCCATTAGATGTGCATTTATTTTTCAAATAACATATAACAGTGATAAAAATTTTAGTTATAAAATAAAAAGATTTCACTAAACATGCTATTTATAAACACCATATAAATAAAACAGCTTAAGCTCATTTAAAATGATAAAAAATCTAATTTTTTTGTTTCTTTTTAGAACAGTTTTGGTGAAGTTTTAAAAAATTATAATTTTTAAAATCGTAATTATGCTTGTGACTGTAACGAAGTAAAGCATTGGATTCTATGCTTTTAGTTTATCAATGCCAATACTGCTAATTATTAAATAAATGCTTTATAAATAAATGTTTTATGCTAACACAGGTGAGTCTTTTTGGTGCGTACCTTCTGGA